TGATAGACAAAGGTTAGAACAACACCTTAATAACATCGACCTGCGACGGACATGTTGCAAAGGATGAGAGAGGTTATAGGACTAAGAACTTTCGACGAAGGCCTATTCAAACAACTTTTCTTGTACAAACTTCCCCAACAGGTGCAAACGGTTCTGGTCTCGTTTCAAAACAACGCCTTAGACGAACTGGCTGCATCTGCCGATCGTATCTTAGAAATTACGAAATCTTCTACTACCGAGGTTTTTCAGTCAAAGAAAAGTCTCAAACGACTCAGAATGACATAACCGAGTTATGTCATACACTCACACGTTACCTTACTTTTCGTAACGACCTTAAGCGGTCACACACCCCACGTAGAAGCACTTCACGTAAGCGATCTGCCTCTAGACCACGAGAGACGGATAATCCCGACTGGTGCTGGTATCATAACCAGTATGGAAAGTCTTCCAGAAATTCCAGTAAACACTGTAATTTTCCAAACACGAAACCGACTGACTCGAAAAACAACTCGGGAACCTTCCAAGCCGGCACGCGTTAACGGCAACCGCAGCCGGCGAACACAGCCGTCTGTTATATGTCACAGATGTGACAACGAGAGTTCGCTATCTCGTCGACACTGGCGCAGAAGTTAGCGTTCTCCCTGCAAATTTTAACGAACGGCTTCATGAATAGGTTTTAAATCTACAAGCGGCAAACGGAAAACCTATCTCCACATACAGTAAAAGGTACGTTCACATTAACGTGGGTTTACTGAAGCTCATACACTGGATCTTCGTTAGTGCAGATGTTTCTATGCCAATCATTGGTATGGACCTTCTACAACACCATAATCTATTCATTGATACGCCCAAACGGAGGCTAGTTGATGGAAACACTAAGTTATCTGTTTGCGCAACTTCTTTTTCTGGTTGCAGATTATCCCCATTAAGCACACGACAGACCCATTTTTATCAACGATTACTCGATATGTATTGTGGGATATACGAAACGCAACCGAAATTGCCGTGTGTAATCAGCGATGTTACACATCACATCACGACTACAGGACCACCTGTATTCTCTAAAGCACGCCGGCTGTCTCCCGAAAAGCTAAGGTTGGACAAAAACGAATTTGACCACACGACAGACATAGTCATCATACGACCGTCAAATAGCCCATATGCATCTCCGTTGCATATGGTCCCTAAAAAGGACAGCAACGATTGGCGTCCAACTGGTGACTATCGACGATTGAATGTGAAAATCATTCCCGATCGTTACCCGTTGCCTCACATTCCCGATTTGACAGCTAATTTGAAAGGTACAACTGTGTTTTCGAAAATCGACTTGGTTAAAGCGTATAATCAAATCCCTAAGGCTACTGACGATATTCCAAAAACAGCTATCATAACTCCTTTCGGACTCTACGAATTTTTGCAAATGGCCTTTCGGTCTAAGAAACGCTGCACAAACTTTCCAAAGGTTCATAGATGACGTTTTTTGAGGTCTCAACTTCGTACATGAGTATGCTGACGACTGCCTAATGGCAAGTCCGGACAAAGAATCGCATCTCAAGCATCTGGATTTTGTTTTCGAACGACTACAAAAACATGGCATTACTGTAAACATTCAGAAATGCCGAATCGGAACCGACTCATTAGACTTTCTAGGACACACCATCAATGCTCAAGGAATCCGACCCCTTAGAACCAAAGTGGCGGCCATTCTGGATTACCCAGAACGGACCACCATCAAGCAATTACGCACGCTTAACGGCCTGCTAAGTTTCTATAGACGTTTCATACCGAAATACGCGTCACTTATGAAACCTCTCACAGACCAACTTCGTGGTAATGCGAAATCCATCAATCTCGACGACACCGCACAAAAAGCATTCTCCACAGATAAAAATCTTATCGCTTAAGCAACAATGCTTGATCATCTGGACACTGAAGCACTCATTAGTATCGCAGTAGACGCATCCGACTCAGCAATCGGAGGAGTTTCACAAGAATGGGTTAAAGACTCCTGGCAACCTTCGGCATTTTTCTCTAGATGGTTGCTAGACACTGAATCGAGGTATAGCACATTCGGTAGGGAACTCCTAGCTATGTATTGTGCTGTACGGCATTTTCAACACTATATCGAAGGCAGCGAATATAATTTTTACATTAACCGTAAACCGCTCACTTTCTCTTTAAGCTCTTCCTCTGACAAGTACTCACCTCGTGAGTCTCGACAACTGGAAAACATTTCGCAGTTTACCTCAGACATCCAACACATTTCTGGAGCAAACAATCTAGTCGCAGACGCCTTGTCTTGAATAACTCTCCTAAACAATTTCCTAGGAATCGACCTTCTTAAACTCGCCCAGCTTCGAAAAGAAGACACTGATCTTCAACACGAGTTATCGTCTACAACTCTCAAGCTATGCATCAAACAGATGGGACCAGGTAAGGAAACCTTACTTTGTGACAAATTTACAGGTATGGATCGCCCAATCGTGTTGAAACATTATCGGCGCAGTCTTCAATACGTTGCACAAACCTTCTCATCCAGGTGTTTGTGCAACCATCAAGCTTATAACAGAACGGTTTTACACGCCTGGCATGAATAAAGACGTGAGGGGGTGGGCACGCTCCTGTGTAAGCTGCCAAAAATATAAGGTTATCAGACACAATAAATGTCCCTTAGGCTCCTTTAAAACTCCCGACGCTCGTCTCGAACATGTTCATCTGGAGTTGGTGGGACCTTTACCAGATTCAAATGGATACTCTTACCTCTTAACCTGCGTAGACCGTTTCACTCGATGGCCAGAAGCAGTACCTATCAAGGACATCACTGCTGAAACAGTGGCTTGCGCCTTCGTCGAACGGTGGGTTGCAAACTTCGGCTACCCTTCAACCATCACTACAGACCGCGGACGTCAGTTTGAATCCGAACTTTTCCGTTGTCTGACCACACTTTTGGGAATCACTCGTTTCCGAACGACCGCCTACCACCCACAAGCAAACGGGTTGGTAGAACGTTTTCACCGACAACTAAAAGCTTCACTATCAGCTGCAAACATTTCACAGTGGACCGACGCTCTACCACTCGTCTTATTAGGTATTCGCAATGCAGTGAAAGCTGACATTGGATACACTGCGGCTCAACTCGTTTATGGAACGACACTTCGACTTCCAGGAGAATTCGTGGATCCTTCATCCTATTTCGTGAGCACGGATCTAATCTCCTACACGAACAGGCTTACAAACACAATGCGTTCAGTTAAACCTGCTTCCACTCGACCGCAATCAACTGATGTTTTCGTTCAATCTGACTTACGATACAGTGCACACGTCTCCGTTCGTCGAAACTCATATCGACGACCTTTCGGATCAGCATACGAAGGACCTTTCAAAGTTCTTCAGCGCAAACCTGAGTACTATATAATTGATAAAAACGGAACCAAAGATAGCATCAGCATCGATAGCCTCAAAGCAGCATATTTAGAAGGTTATCCTATCTACGTCGATTTTCCTTCGGTAAAATCGAACGACGCGACTCCGACACATAATACCTCATCCGACAACCCACACGCACGATGATACTTTAACAGTAGCTGAAACTAAACTTTAAAGAACGCGTTCTGGAAGAAGAGTAAGATTCCCAGAACATTTAAACGACTATTGCACATAAGACACCAGTTAACATTTTGTTTCATCTCGATTTTTGCATGGCATTATATATAATAAAAAAATTCAGTTTTTATATGCTTATATTTATATGTATTTATTATTTTGTTAATATGTTTACTGAAAAATATTTTTAAAGGAAAAACGTGGCTGGCCACGTCTTAGGGTTGTCACTTCCCCACTAAGAGGGAGTGATCTGTAGCGGTAAATAAATTTCCAAAATAAATAGCTCTGTAAGTTTTCGACATTGGATGCTGACCACATTAGTTTTAGTGAACTCACCTAGCTGAAGGCGCTCGGTCATGCATCCGCATCAGATCACGAGTGGGAACGCCGTGCTCAACAACCCCTGCAATCGCTAGCCAGATTAGATCAGACGATGCTCGATATGTTGATAGCCTATCAAATATATCTTCGAACCTCCTCGCTTCTGTCATTTGATTTCACTTGGTGGGTGAGATTCATATTAGAATGTGTTACTGGTTAAAGCGTTGTCAAACTCCAAATATTTGTAGCATTTCGAAGATAAACTGGCACCTCAGGATGATCTGACTCAACTCCAAAGTTAGGTAGATGACAACGGTCTTATATCTAACGCTCCAAAGTGTATAGTAGCCCATCTGAGACATGTTGCAGACTACAGTTACAAATTAGAAAGCTCCTCTCTAGAAGTATCCCAAGTTGAGAAAGATTTAAGAGTGTTGGTACCCTATGGTCTGAAGTCTTATACTAACTATGACAAAAATGCCTCCCGAGCAAACCCTGTACTGGTAACGTTGAAGAGCATTTTAGGCCAGTTTGACGGAAGAACTTTCCAGATAATTTCCAACAGTTTCATTAGTCCCCATTTGGAGTACGGAGCCACAGTATTTCCTCCCTTACTCCACAAGGATAAGGAAACTCTGGAGCGTATCACACGGCGAGCTAAAAATTATTTTAGGGGCTCAAATTCAAGCCTTATGAAGAGCGCCTCTAATCACTCAACATTTACTCATTAAAATACAGGCGTATTAGAGGTGATCTAATGGCTTACAGCATTCTAAATAGTTCTGGGCATCCCCTTAAACACCTGCTTAAATTTATCTCCAACACAAATCTAAGGAGTAACACACAGAAACTAGAGACACAACACAACAGAACGGACTGTAGACACACCTTCTACTCTTTCACAGTAGTCAAATTTTGGAGTTCACTTCCGGCTTCACTCTCTGGATGAATATTGCTAAGATCTTGTCTCTTTTTGGCCTTAAGTTCTCTCCAACTACGCAGAAATTGGTCTCAACCAGCGAATAAATCACTCGTTTTGATGACCGAATTTAGGATTGAAATATAAAAATTCCTTCCTAAGATTGACCTTTGTAGGGCGGGCTTGTGGAATTTCGACTTCATCATGAGTTGCCTTGTCCTTGATAGGAAATCTGGTGGTTTCTCGTTCGAAAATTGTTACAGGTTTGTAACCACTCATCTCATATTCATGCTCATACCAGGAATAAAGTCATCGAACAAAAAGGCTTCAAATTGCCAAAAGCAGTAAAGACTGGAACAACAATATGCGGAGTCGTTTTCAAGGTACTTATTAATAAACCTGATGAGCACTCCCTTAGAATGGAATAGTTCTAGGCGCAGATACACGGGCAACAGAAGGTAGCGTAGTTGCTGAGAAAAACTGCTCAAAAATTCATCGCATTGCAGAAAATATATAGTATGTAGTCCTACTTCAAATAACGATTTAGTTGCTGTGGAGCTGGAACTGCAGCCGACACTCAAATGGTTACACTGATGATTTCTTCGCAAGTCGAGCTCCACCGTTTGAATACGGGCAGGACTCCTCGTGTTATCTCCCCACTTCGTCTCCTTAAACGCTATCTTTATCAGTATCAGGTAGTCACTTTCCTGTATTATTTTGAATCTATAGGGTTATGTTGGTGCTGCACTCGTACTAGGTGGTGTGGACTCAACAGGCCCTCATTTGTATAGTATTGCACCGCATGGATCAACGGATAAATTACCATATATCACAATGGGTAGTGGGAGTCTTGCGTGTATGTCTGTACTTGAATCAAGATTTAAATTTAACATGGAAGTAAGTTCATTTGTCCGTTTGGAATTTTGGTATGTCCTAGCCTCAGTACATCTTACTTACCCTACTTCCGTCATGAAAGAGCGTTACTACAGATGTTGGTTGTCTGATACAAACCTCACTATCACCAGTCGTCCTCAAGTGAACAACAGACCTTGTGAAGGCGATAGCTGAGTTTAAGAATCTGCGACCTATTTGAAAGCTAAGTGCTTTAATCACCAAGCGACTCTTTCGTAGATGGATTCTTATGTACCTGTCAATGAAATTGCAGGAAGTTCATATTTCAAACTGTTTTATGCACAAACAGTCGAGTTTTTCTAATCTTACTAACATTCTATAACGTGAGATTCTAAAAAATAATAATTAAGTCTAATTTGAGAACTTAGTGGTTATGCACATGTTAGTTGTTATTAACGTCATGAGGGACATGTTCTTAAATTTCATTGAAATCATGAACCGATCAATGTTAGATCATCACTGAAAACCCGGAAACACTAGATGGCCGTTCTGTTGTACTATGGGACTCTTCAGTAGTACGCATCCGCGATCCCTTAAGCGGGGCATGAACCCAAGACCGGTTTCACACAGACACTTTATCTCCAGACCACTAAGCCATTGATACGGTTGGATGTAGGCTCAGTGGTCTAGAGACAAAGCGTCTGCGTGAAACCGGTCTTGGGTTCATGCCCCGCGTAAGGGATCGCGGATGCGTACTACTGAAGAGTCCCATAGTACAACAGAACGGCCATCTAGTGTTTCCGGGTTTTCAGTGTTGGTCTAACATTGATTGGTTCATGATTTCAACAAAATTCAACAATCTCCACAACGTGAAACAGAGTTTTTGAATTGTCTTGTGGTCCACGTTTTCGGGCTATTGTTGTGGAAACAGTCATACTGTATATTCTGATTTAATTCGCTCTATGTTTGTAGGACAGATTTCCTCTTATTCTTCAATGATTCGGTGAATAATAAACGGCCGATACCGTACATGGATTATCATGAATTTATAGCTTGGAAACAATCAAACCATAAGCACCAAAAAACGGAACAAAAGGTAAATAATAACAATGAGTAAAAAACAGTAGAGCATATAGTCACAATTAAGTAGTTCAACGTGAGACTGCAATACTGGGAATGTAAAAATATGATCTAATTGTTTAACAATTAGACAATGGAAATATAAACAATAATGTGTAAAGTAATCTCAACTTCAGTACTCTCCGCTACTATTCTACCATACACACCTTCCTTGAAATTCGTTGGCGATCGGGTTCATTTTTCAACACATTAAAGATCTAGTCTGAGTTCCTAATGACTACCTGTAATAATAATGTTTAAATGCGAATGTAACCGCTGGTTTATTATGAAATGATCTATATGATTATTATGTGTCGGATTGTTATGGGAGTAAATCATTTGAGTACATTAGCTACTTTACTCATCTTGGAAGTCATATCAACCCTAGTGGGATAGTCATTGACCAGATTTCGACACGTTCGGAAAGCTTTCTTGGTTTCTACCTACTCTCATCATTCATGATGTTGCCATGATTTCTGTCTGCCAACAAATGGGTGTGTATACTGTCCAGCATTTCGCTTGGTATTATTTTATTTATTTATTATTTATTTGAACACATAAATATTGGTACAAGAGGGCACCAAAGACATATGCGCCACACAAAACAATGAGAGAAGGAAAAAAAGTAAGGAGCGTAAAAAACAATAACGTACAGATTAGTGTAAGGTAGTGTAATAATAATAATGGGGGAAACGAAAAGGTACAATCAGAAGAAATCTTTCAGTCAAGGAAGAAGCAACCACTTTTTACGAAGAAAGGAAAAGAAGGTTACGGCAGGATCGCCACTGGCTTCTATTCTGAGCCATATCTGATAACGTCTCTAGCCACTGTGTAGCACCATCTCTAGGACCCCAACCAGGGAGTCGTGAAGGACCAACACAGGCTAGCGCTCTGCAGCGTTCTTTCATATCACGACAGCATGTCATACACTGACCACCTCTCCGCTTTTTCAACCAGTCTCAGCATCGGCAAATAATGCACGACGTGGAATTCTCTGGGGCGACATTCGGAGAACATGTCCAAGCCACCGAAGTCGGTGTTTCAAGATGGTGACACCAATTGCATTATCATCTCTGTGCCCGAACACACGATGCCGGACCTCTGCATTACTGACATGGTGTTGCCACTGAATGTCAGCAATTCTTCGGAGACATCGATGATCGAACACAGAGAGTCGTCTAACATCCTCAACTCGGAGAGGCCGGGTTTCACAAGCATAGAGCAAAACTGCTCTCACTGACGCGTTATAAATCCGACCTTTTACAGCCAGACTAACATCACGAAGGTGCCAAAGATGGCCAAGATTGGCATAAGCCGCTCTGGCTTCCATTATACGTGCATTGATCTCATCACTCACACCCCCACCAGCACCTATGCAGCTACCCAGATACACGGACTTCTTGACTACTATCTGTTCACCATCCAGAGTGAGTACAGATTTAGAATCCTGCCAGTCTTGTAGGAGTACTTTGCACACGCACATACCATACTTACGGACACTGATTGCCAACTGATTAAGTGAGGATTGCATGCCTTGGGCATTATCGCACAGTAAGACAATATCGTCCGCATACTCAAGGTCGAGAAGTCTTTCTCCAGGCAACAGATCCACACCGCCATTACTTACATCCGTCAGAGCTGTTTCCAGAATGTCATCGATGGCAAAGTTGAAGAGGAATGGCGAGATTTGGCAACCCTGTCTAACCCCACTGTCCGAATGGAACAATGGAGAGAGGTGGTTGTATGCCCTCACTCTGCCTGAGGTGTTTTTATATAGGGCTTTTAGGATGTTAATAAACTTCTCAGGCACATATTTCTTCAATAGACAATCCCAGAGAACAGTCCTATCCAACGAATCGAAGCCAGCCCTGATGTTGGCCTTTGGTAAGTATGACGGTGTTCTAACATTTGGTGGAGGGTGAAGATATGATCAATACATCCTCGACTAGAACGAAAACCAGCCTGCTCCTCGCGAGTCAATCTTTCTCGGGTTTTGAACAACCTAAGAACTATGACGAAAGCCGATAGCTTGGACGCGATCGGAAGTAGACTTATCCCTCGATAGTTGTTACAGGAACGAGATGAACCCTTTTTAAAGATAGGGACAACTATCGACTCATTCTCTAGCTCCCAGACCTTTGTAAACAACGTCGTCAGTTCCTTAGTCAAAAAGTCACCACCATCTTTAAAAAGAGCCGGAGGTAAGTCATTTGGGCCAAGTGATTTGTGGCGCTTCAAGAGTTGGCGTTCCTTGCGGACTTCCTCCTCATTTGGTGGGTCAGTAGTCACCGGCCATGGAGGGCAGGACAGTCTGACAGATGTTGCCCGAGCAGCAGGCCAGTTGAACTGCCCTTCGAAGAATTCTGCCCATCGTCCAAGACGTCGATGGATGTTAGTGACTGGCATCCCATCATCCTCGTAGATTGTTTCGCTCACACTAGACTTCTTGCTGTCAGTGGTTCGGATGGATTGGAAGAGCTTCCGGTAGTTACCAGATGCAGCTGCTGCTTCCAACACATTAGCCCGCTCCGACCGCCAGGCTTCTCGGTCCTTAAGCAAGCTTTTCTCAATTTCATTACGTAAAATCCTTCGTTTGTGGTCAAACTCACAGTCACCCGGAGTAGACCGACGGGCTTCAATGAGTTGTAAGGAACCTGAAGAAACCCAGTGCTTATAAGCGGGACATTTCGTGAACCCACAAGTGTCTTTACTCGCCATTTTCATGGCATCATGCAATTGCAACCAATGCTCATCTATACTTTTCGGTGGAAAGATAGCTAGCCTAGAAGCGAGCTCGATTCGATACTTAATAGCAACAGACATAGCCAGCCCTATCTGTTGTCTGATCTGCATAAGTGTGCGAACGTTGAAGGCAGCCAGTTTGAATGGTGCACGTGGTTTCAGAAAAACTGTTTCAGTACTCATATTCGGTGGTAGCATACAATTTTCAATCAGTCGGTGACTCGAGAACGTTAGATAGAGCGGAATTTCCACCATAGGCGAGCTGCTGTCTAAGTCGGAAAATAAGGATACACAGTGAGAATAAATGACGTAGTAAATAATAATAATAATAATAATATTGTGGATCATTTGATTGTTAATCGCAGCAAGAAGAGTATTTTCCATAAATATAGACAGTTCATCATAATTGTGTGTGGGCTGTGACACTGCCCGGCTGCCCAAACTGAAGCAGGTAGTTTTCTTAGGGGGCCACACCCCGAGCCTTTGACCCAAAGGTCTGATCCACAAGGCAGTGAAGCATCGTGAGGAGATGCAGTTCCATGGTAGCCGGTGACCAACGATTGGTTCATACGCCATTTGTTCTCGCAGGATACTGGAGCCCATGTGCACCATTGGTTTGAAATCCGGTTAAAGCGCCGGACATTCGCATTTCGTCCTTTCATTTTCGTAAACAACAGTAATGCCACGAGAAGGCAGTGAGTAGGACTTCCCTGGCAGAGGATGTGTACGCGTGACCATGTGAGAGCATTTCGAGAGGGAGGGCGAGTCCACCCCACTCTCGGCCATACTAGGGCATTTGGGGGCTCGCTTGGTATTACTGTGAAACGAAAAGATATGGGTAGGCTGTAGGTTTTTCATCACAAATGTCCTCAAAGCAACGCTGAAGTTAGACATAGAGTACTAAGCAAAGGTGGTAAATCGTCTTATGAGATTATGAGTCTGTTAGGTTTGAAGCTTCATGAGTTCACTTAATCTGCGAACGAAAACAAGGCTCAGTGACCAAAGACCAGTAATCTAGCTATTGATGCGTTCCAGCTCTGCTACCCAGAAGGAGAAGTCCAAGCTTGGTATGGAAAATATATTCTGCAAACATTCAGAAAACGAGCGAGCCCACAAACACAATTTAAAACGTATATATACAAATATATATAATCGATATTGTCATGGGAAGTTTTTAAACACTAATCAATGAGTTCATCAATTGACTGCTATTTAATCGATAAGTTAATCGATATGATATGAGTTTTGAGGATATATCGTCCCCAACAGAGTCTTCATCAATTAAAGTGATTGAAACATATATTATGTATCCCCAACCACTATCCACTTCGTCGCACAGTATTAGCTGGTATAGCGTTAATTTAGAAAAAGCCCATAAAGTTACCGACTATCGGACTGAGTCGTGTTGGTAGATGAAGACTATCTGATTGTGGTCTGGGAGATTATCTTAAACGATAGAAACATGAGGTCACACTTTTTATTCCTCAAATTTGTTCTTCCTTGAATCATGTAATCTCTGGCTAATGTTTCTTACTACCGTTGATACTATCCCTACTATGGAATTTGTCTTGATTTCATCTCTGTGCTTATATGGTGCGGGAATTAAAGCCATTCCACATATTTCCCAGGTTCTATGTTCCTTATGGCTATTTGACTAATTAGTGCACTGATTACTAAACTAAGCACACTAACTTTATAAATAACTCTTCCTTACAGTGTTTTATCACTGTCAAATATTCATCATCTATCCAGAAATTGTCAGTGTTTTCGTTATTTTATGTTTCAAGAATAATTCAAATAATTAAGTGTAATACGACTGGACATATTTCCAATTTTCAGCAAGATGAAGCCGTAAAGTTAGTACGTGATGGAATAGCAGCTGGAATATTTAATGATATGGGGTCTGGTAGTAATGTTGATATATGTATTATTACTAAAGATGGGACAACCTATATACGATCATATGATGAAGCTAATGTCAAAGGCAAGAGGTATGTATAATTTTCGTCCTTATTTGCTGCCATTAAAAATTTTTTTTCACTATTTAAAAGTTTTTTCATCTCATGGAGCTTTTTGAATAGGTTCTCTCCACTTCACTCAAATTTGGTGTTAATAATTAAGCATCTCAACACCAACTGTAGACGGAAATATATCAAATATGTACGGCAGTTATAGATATTTGTATGGTAAAACTTTACCAGATCATTTTTGTTTAAATATATGACTCAGTATTATAAGTGTTGTCGATTATCATCTGTTAGGTTTTTATTATTTATTTAAACACATGAACACTGTTAAAAACGGGCACTAAAATATTTATGCATCACACAACATTTGTATGGGAGTTGGGATACTGCCTGGTCGCCCAAACCGAAACAAGTGATTTTTTAGGGGGCAACTTCCCGAGCTTTTGACCTGAAGATCTAATCCACAAGTCGGTGGGCCAAGGTTAAGATATACAGTCCTATAGTAGCCGGGGACCAAGAATAGGTTCATATGCCATTTGTTTCCTCAGCATCCTGAAATCTATATGCACGACTGGTTTGTAATTAAGGTCCTCCAACTCCCCTAGGTGAATCTTTCGTACCCACTGACTCGGTTTAAGCGCCGAACATTCACTTTGTGTCCTTTTAATTTCGTAAACAACATCCCTTCCTCGAGGAGGCAATGAGCAAGACTTCCTTGACAGTGGCCATATGAGGATATTTCGAGAGGATGAGTGGACTCCTCTTACCCTTGGCCGCACCAGGCATTCGTGAGCATTGGACCATTCATATTCATCTAGTCAAGCGCAGGGGTTACAAAGTCACGTTTTGTACCCATTACAAATTAAGTAATAATTCCAAGCTTGTGGCACACAAAACCTGTAGGTGGTAGCTGCTTTTTTGTATTTTTTAAATACCATCTAATGACTCCTTAGTTTTTCGTATATAAACTTTATTCAAACATAAACGAATTGTGCATTTTCGTGTTTCTTGTTAGGTGTTAGATTAACCCAGTCAACAAATGTATTGGACTTTGATGTTTGCTTTCTGTTATTTATGTGTAACTTGCCATCTCACTAGATATACGTTCTACTTTTAATTCCTGTCAAAACATGAAACTAATTTGATTCGCAGCTAAAGTCCTCAATTATCCAAAACATAATGTCCACTTTATGGTCTAATTAACCAGTGTTAACCACTTGAATGTTTAGATGTTTAGTCCATTAAGTTCTTTCATCTGTAACCAGTATTTTGTCACCTGAGAAGTCCTTAGTACACACTCACAACTCCATTAATTATCTCTTGGTACAGATAGTATCATCTTCCTGTAGATAATGAGCAGTGAGCGCAGCGCAATCTTGTAAACTCAATGTTCTAATCTAAGTGGATAATTACCATCAGCTCTAATGTTCTTCGTATTCCATTTCGTCAGAAATCAAGTGAAGCACTGAAAAAATTAACCATCTAAACCACTAAACAATTTCGGCATTTAACAGTCCAAATTTATATAACAGGTTGATAACCGTTTCGTGAAAACTTATGAAAATAGTAAATGAAATGAAATTCAAATCTAACGAAGTAACACTCGAGTTTCGACCACTATATTTACTGATGTTTCACCACAAAACAAAGTAGACTTATCAGCTCTTAGATTATAAAAGTTAGCATAAAATAATGTGACCAAATTATAGCTTTACATTATGGTGTCAACAAATTGTCATTTCTACATTTTATCAACCTTTATATCTTGCTATACTCAAAACTAGTTTCTTTACTTATTAATTTTTCAGAGCAGAAAAGTATAATCCTCCGGAAGGTACCACTTCTGTTCTCCACAAAAGTGTTCATCATGTTGAGTTCGATGTGGTCACAACACGTGTTGTTCGAGATATACCTGCTCATAGTGTTGAGACAATGGATCTTTCTTAAATGTATTTTAAATTTCCTCAAATGAATTGTGATTCCTACGTTGTTTGCTTTATCGGTTGTTCGAATAAATTCACCGTAAAGACTCCTTTTTGTTGTCAAAATGTTTTAACACAGTACAATATCCTTATTCTGTTTATTTTGAATTACTAATATGCAATCAACACCATTCAAATTCATTTTATAGTAAAGTCATGGAATAAAAGTACAAATATGTAACAATGGTCTAGTATTTATTAAGTAAACGTCAATAATTCCACTAGTTCTAGTACTCCTTATAGATTAGTTATCATTAATTTTACAGCTGAAAGCGGTTTAGTTATCTGACCAGTTTACTGACCCGCCTTTCATTGATTCAGAATATCAGTAATCCAGGACATGGTAACGGTTGTTTATTATTATTAGTAGTATTAGTATTATTGTCAACTAGTTTTGATACGTTATTGTTCGTTTTCCACCATCAGATACTCATTAACATGGAACTCGACACTTATTGGGTTATCTAAGCCATGGAATGTTGATTTCTCCAACTTTAAGCAGCTTCATTTAAAGTTCTTTACGCCTGTATGTTGAGGTTAATTATTTTGTTACACGCACTCAGCATATAAATATATATATATCCTAACTTGTCTCTCCACTTATCTGAGGTTACTTTTGTTGCTGACTACGTGCTTGTACATTGGTGTAAGAAAAACATACCAATGCATCAGAGTCAGAACAATCCAATAATTATTTGGAAGAATACATTTAATCACAAAGAATGTGGGTTATCACCTACACACGTATCGGCTCAAGTCACTCGCTTGACATTTATTTCCATAAAGCTTAAATTAGTTAAGGGAATAAAGATGATTTTAACAATGTTAGTTAAAACTAGGAAATAACGTAAAATCCTTGAAATAATAGAAATACTCATGCTTTTAATGTAGAAACAACGAGTGCATGTGACAGAGTGACCAGTCTTAATGACTGTCAGATAGATTAAAATTATTACGTAGACAATACATAATAAATTAAAATCCTCCGACGCAGCTTAGACCAATGATCATTGACTCCATACATAAATCTAACTTTTTCCATACATACTTGAGCTGATCAGCATGACGCATTACTACTATCAATAGCTAGGCTACACATAGCAAGTTTCAAACATCTAAATTGGTGGAGGTATACAATTGCATTAACCGATTTTTTTCTACCTGAAACACGTTCAGCCAGTTTTAAATAACTAGGAATAATGAAATTAGTGACATTTTAGTTTGTTATTAAAGTCTGAAAGAAGGCAGGCATTTGATTTAATGATACGTTTTGTAAATCAATTAATATTAAAACTAATAGAACAGGTTGAAAATATAGGTGTTCATATCACCAAAATCTCATCGATAAGCAAGTACTTCTAGCTTTCAGCATACTAAAACACAACTTCACCTGAGATGTCAACAGAAAAAACCCACTTATAAGGGAAATCTCCCTAATCTATGTCATAAATGTGCTGATAAGACTGTTCAATGACTTACGTAATAAGATGTTAAGAATTGATGGTTTAATCTCAACTCCAAAACTATGGGTTACACTACTAAACCTTTATCTACCTCTATTGTGGCAGGATAACAGTATTTTAAGTGTTGACACAATTCGTATGGTTCGGAGTTCATTGCACACACTGGTGTTTCGTTAGTCATTATTTGTGGAAGGTACTAGTTGATAACTGACAGTCGTTTTCGATTATTTCATTTGGTTTAATGAAGGACGTGGATTCGTCTTCATCGATTGGAGTTCATTGCACAAACGGTGATCAATTATTTATTTTTATGTTTTTTCACACAAATCAAGTGACTTGTGTGGCGTATATGCATTTAGCGCCCCTTTGTACCAATATTTATGTGTTCAAATCAATTATCTCTACCATTAGATGAAAGGAGACGGTAGAGGTTTATAGATCAATCATAAGAATCTAGATCATAATAGAAAACATAGTTTGTATGTAAATTTAATAAAAAATAAAAGAATTATCCTTAGGTAATGAGATCTGGCTGTATCATTGTCTGTACTTTTTTATGTAATTCTCACCTGACTGATTGTTATTTCATAGAATTAGGAATAATATTTCTATTCATTTGTGATTTTCATTCACCAAATTATTAAAACTTCTGTAAACTCTTCAAATCGCTCATAATTCATTACACAAAATAATTTGTCAGTCTTGGAGTTCCAAATAATTGCTGTCCCACTCCCGTTATGTTTTCCATATTTATCTTAAGCCTGCATATATAGTACTGATAATTATTGTTATTTCAGCTTTCTTCATCCACGAATATCTGTAGTTTAATATTATGTTATACTTTGATACGAAAACAGTTGTAAGCACGAAAGAAATGTTCATATTATTCTGCATCAAGTGATGAGATATTCCGAAGACTCACTTCTGTTTGGGACTTGTGATGTCTAGAAATGTAATGAGAGCTTCATGACTAAACTATCCCGCCCAGAGATTTGATTTCACCGGAATCGAAATATTGTTAGACCTCATTGCCCAAGGGTAATCTTCCTCTATTTACTTTCCATATAAACTATATTTTCTATTGGAACAAGATCCTTGAAGCGATATAATTAAATTCTGCCATCGCCTTTCTATCAACATTGAATCTGATTAGTTGTTGTTAACGTTCCTTCTGTCATTTTTTGCACATATATTTTGGTTGCTTTGTCCCCTGGACCTATTATTACATGGCCTTATAGTTGTTAATACTTGTTCTAACTGGTTAATGAAGTGAGCCTATTTCAATGTGCTTAGTGATTTTGTTAACTAACCTAATTAGCAAAACATAAAAACTGAGCGGTCTTTGTGTTTCTGTTCACTATTTCAACGTTCTCCTGGTCAAGTCTTTGCCCATATTTGTCTACGTGTTTTAACATAAGCATAGATATATGGTAACGTTTAACATTTAGTTGATGTTCATATTCGGATCTCTATCAACTTCTGTTAAAAGCTATGCACAGGTGATAAGCAACCACATGTAAATCTTTCTAATCCTACTCGACGTACGTGTCTTTTATGAACTGTTGTCAAAGATCTTCATATATACCTAATTATATCTAATAAAATAGCATATAGCCTAAAAGATGTTGATATTTCCATTATTTAAATATTCTAAATACTTTGATCTTTTAATCAGTCAGTCAGTCAGTAACAACATAGAACTTCGTACGTACGTACATCAGTTCGAGTTGCCACACCACATTAGCACAGAGATGCAGTTGTCGATCCAAATCCCGTAGTGGTAGAGGTAATAAGAGTATAAGCAGTAATCGGGAAGATTAGGGTTTGGAGATGCTATTTAAAGAGTATAATCCAGTGAAATAAATTTGGAAACAGGAAAAAAGGGACATGAAGAATTCAGAAGATTAGAATTTGGGAGAACACAGAGAGTGGATGCACCTGCGCCATTGCAAACGATTTTGAGCCATGTCATTCAGGGTCTCTAACCATCGGTTGCTATCATCTCGCGGTCCCCAACCAGGTAGTCTTTTAATGCTATATATGATATACATGTTTTTGGTTCATTAATGTTTGATTGCCCTTACATCCTAAGATAGTCTTGAAAACCGAATTAGTGTTGATATTAATCCCCCGAAAAAATATTTATGATTCATAACTTATGGAACAAATACATAACTTTGTTTCTGTATAAACTTTGAAATAAATTAAAGTCATAATTGTTCATTTTATTGGAATAACTATATTTCTGTTGACCAGTTCACGCACCATAGGTCCAATTGTCGCCTAAATTCGTGTATTTGAACAATTGAACAAGTTGCAGTATGAATTAAATTTCAAATATTGTCTGATTATTTCGACTCTGTTGTTTGTTCGATATGAGAATACGTCACTTTCCAGTATATTGTTATGACTCAGTAGTTTAGACATCTGTTTCGAACTCGAATAGGTCATTATATCTTTTATTGCTTTTCATTGATTTTCAACTTCTTAGTTTTGTTATTGGTATCAATTCTTGCATACTTTCCAAACTAGTAACCTTGGTTTCTAAAAAGAATAAATACTGGGAAAATTTTCTTTTTTTTCTTCACAATTTAAAGTTATTGTACATATAATTTCTTGAATTGTGCATCTCACCGATAGTCAGTTCTGTTCAACAACTGCTTTTGTCTATCTATCTATCTATTTTTTGCTCATTAACAGATAATTGAGTCAATAATTTTGGAACTAGTACAGATGCTTTTGTGAAGGCTGTTGAATTTTGTAGTTTGCACCACGGACTCACTGTATCTAACTACACAACCAGTGGAAACTAAGAAGTATGAGACAGCCTCTTCGTCCTAGTATGGAACTCCTCAACAGTGCCCAGCAACGAATTCACCAGGGGTCGAAATTAGGACTCATGCTACCTATTGCCAAGCTGTTACCAGTGGATTTCAACTGCATCGGGAAGGAGGCAATCACTCACCAATGGTTTTGAATGGTAATCGCTTAATACGAAAAATTGACTGAAGTTAGAAATGTAAACCGTTAGATACCTACTCAATGGATCGAAGTTTAGCACTTTCTGTGAGGCTTAAGGTTCCTAAGTACAACCACTAATAGGGTAGTAGGTACGTATTACCGAGGACTCCTGTACTTGGACGAAACGTCTGCTCAGTACTTCTTGGTTTTCTGTTGTCTAGCTACAATCAATCCATGATGTAAACCACATAATCACTATACTCTACATATGTTTGAAGTTCATATCCTAATATTATATTAATTATCATGTTTGGTCTCTGAATAGCAAAGAGTTTAGAACCAATTTAAACATAATACTTTACTCGTAGGATGCTTATACGAAATGCCTTTAAGGTTAAATATACGCTAAAGACTAATGTAACTTTCTATAAACTGATTATTATTATTATTATTATTATTATTATTATTATTATTATTATTATTATTATTATTATTATTATTATTATTATTATTATTATTAATAGAATGTCAACAGAAAAAGAATAAAATAGAAATTATTATTTTTATGGTTGTTTATATTGGATATTTGATTAGGTAAGTGATAGTTTTCGTTTTGTTTTGTTGTTTAAGAGGAAAAACACGACGAAAAACAAAAAAGGAGTAAGTTGATACTTGAAATAATTGGCTACACACACATACAACGTAGTGCTGATTGAATAATGCGACTTTTCCTGTGGAAGAGAACCATACTTATACACAGACGAGGGTCAGTTTTTCTAGGTTACAAAACAGGTTTCATGTGTATTCGCTTATTTTCAATGATAATAATAATAATAATTAAGCAACAGGTCAAATGTCAACATCAGTTGGAGAGTGTGAATAACTTGTGCTTGGGACAATAAATGGTAAGCTTTGCTTTGTTATATACGATGATTCTGGTTCTATTAATTCTGCAACTAAAAATCCACGTAAAATTGCTTCTCTGACAGACAATCGTTCAGTTTGGTCAGAGCTACTATCGCCTTTTTTACTTATCGGTGAATCAGTACTGAATAGTGACTCGTAAACAGAATGTGTAAACAACATTCGACCGGTTTCTTTGTCAATTAGACCAGCTCGTATTGCAGATGCAACGTCCAGATTAATTGGATTATGTTTGTTTTGACCTGCATCAGGTCTAATTGAATGTACTAGATACCTACTTCGTTGTATCTCTGGTGTTCTCCAAACTATTTTGGCATCCAATGATGGCTGCGCTTCTGTTGATATTCTATCACTAGCTAACCGAACTGCCTTAGAAATCACTGCATCTGCCAGTGGTATGGAAACTGTTGAATCTACTGATGATTGCCTAGGTCCAAGTTTTTCATAATCCCAGTATACTACTCTTAGTAGACCACGATAAAACGCTTCACTTGCGCTAACGATTTTGCTTGTTCCAGGTACTATTACTCCAGTTATTTTGAGTTCCAGCAGTTTCCCAGGACTATCAACCCAAACTTCATCTCGTATCTGATTACTTGTGTCGCTATCCCTACGGCGTTCTGTATCTCGTATTTCTGCTGGATGCCATGTCACCACCGAAAATTCTCTGTCTTCAATTTTCTGGCTCTGATTTATGCGAATTACTTCCTCATCACTTAGGTAAGTTGGTAGATATGTGCAGTTATTATCAGCTGTCATCTGCCCCACAAACCGAGTTTGTGATTGGGCGTCTTTTAATTGCGTTATTGGAAGTGTTTGAGGTTGTATTTGTGAATGAACGGTCACTGGGATACTAGCTTGACTCCCACATGTTGGACATATATAAGTCTGTATTGTATGTTCAATACTGAATGTCGATTGCTCTTGTGTAGTCTCTGTAAATGTGGTAGTGGCCAAATTAAATGGATGAGAAGTACGTGTCTGCATGCTTGTTATGCCGTGCTGACGATGGTGACTTGTCAGTTCTTCGGTAGTCGGCGACAGTGGACTTACTACCGAGCCACTACGCGTCGGTGGTGGCTGATTCGTTCCTCCAGAAATGAAGCTACGACCACGTTGTATCCGTTTATTTTTATGTGGAGGTCGAGTGGTAAGGAGAATATCACTAGTCTGTGTTCCCATGTTCTCAAGATTTCTGATTTGACTCACTAAGTTTCCCGTTGAAGTAAACTGTGTCTTCGCTTCAACTAGCCGTGATTTTTCTGCTGCATGTATACTTCGATCAAGACTAACAGAAAGCTCTGAGTATCTACCGATCGTTCTTAATCTAGAAAGCAAGTATTGCTCTCCCCAAACTTTCAGTAAATTCTGCAAACAGATTTCAGCATCAGTATATATGCCTGTCTCATGTTCATGCATTCCATGCAAATCGATATCCTGTGGGTGTGTTTCTCTCAGGAACCGTTCGTGGGCTACATGAGAGTCAAGTGAACTTCCTCTTTCCCTATAGTCTTCTGTAAGTAACTCTTCATGTACTACTCGACGATCTCCACGTTTTTGCATAGTTGTGACCTTCGTTGTTCTTGGTGCAATTGTTGTTTCTTCATCAAACTCTTCATCTAGGTTACTAGGTAAACTCGATGTCAATAGATCAGTGTGTTCGACAATTCTTTTGGCTACTGGACCTCGACGACAATAAGATGACAAACCTTTCCTAGCTATTGTCGTCACAACTCTTTTTATATAATAGTCATCTTCAATCGCATCAGTTTGTACACCTATATTTACTGGTGAATCGATAGTTAACTTATGTTTCGAAGATTCAGTGGTTTGCGTTACCCCAGTAAGTGTCACTGGTGCGAATTGTACTCCCCAACTTACAACATCTGGTTTTAAATATTGATACGGTGTCTTAGCCTTTCCATTTCCATTTCTGCTTGTTGATTCTGTATGAGCAAGCATATGAGTAGTTGGTCGTGCACTAACTGCAACTGAATTTTGTTGAGGTGAGTAACTTCCACTTGAATCTATTATTTGAGGATGTCTTATTTCATACTGAATATCTTGCAGAACATTTGATACTTGTGCTTCTGACCATGGTGTTTCTTTTAGTAACTTTATATTTCTCCTTTCAGATATCTGGGTATCATGATAGGATATTTGAGATTCTATAAGTCCTTTTTCAAAGGGCATAGTATCTACACACTTATCCGTAGTTAACTTTTCTAACTGAACAATTGTGGTCTTTTTCGAAATTTTTCCTATGCTATCAACTTCCCTACTTTCAGGTAATTGAATATTTCCCAACAAAAACGTATCAGTTTGGATATTCTTTGATTCACCCCTAGCTCTATAGCCGGACTCTCTGTATAGTTTCAGCACATCGGATGTGTCTGATGCTTTTGGCTTGTCAGGAATAGTTTCCATTTGGAGAATACGTGTAAAGTAATTTGATTTCACTGTACTGGATGCTGTTTGTTTTGTTCTTATTGATTTTTCTTCCGATTGCATATCTTTATCAATCGTTTTCTTATCATATCCCCGTGATATACACTTGAAACATTCAATATTTTTTAGTAAACACTCATCTGTTTGTGTTATCTCAGTTAATGAGGTTGACATTCCTTTGGAGATTGTCTCTTGAGGATGTGTAAATTCTTCTTCTACTTGTTCACCAAGTTTAGATGGGTAGACTTGTAGTTTTTTGTTCTTAACTTGTAAAGGTGATGGAGAAGTCTCACTTGGTCTTGTTTCTTGAGTCCCTGTATCTACTGTAACTACTGGTCGTATATTACTTGCCTGAACTCCAATACTTGATGACGAAGAAGTTTTATGATGGTCATAAAGACAACTGTCCTGTATAGTTTGAGAAGATGTATTTTTTAATGTAGAAAATGAGGAACCATACTGAAGTTTCTTTTGATATTGTTGAGGAGTTATTTTTACTTGGCACTCTTGATCTATTTTTATTTTTGGTATTGCTTGTGAAGTGTTTGTCACATTAGACGCTGAATCATGAACCACATGTGCATCCACTGATGAAACTATTGTTTTATCAACCTGTTCAATACTTATATCCTGGTATCTATAATCTGAAGTTTGTGTTCCTATAGAGGCTACATTTATTGGAGTCTTTGGTGATGAAGGCGATATTAGATTCACTTGGAATTTCTTGTTTCGTTGATCCACACGTACGTTTGTTGAAAAAGGCACATCTGTTTGAATGCTAACAACTCTGGACGTTACAGCATGACTAGTTGATGAAGGCTTCGTGAGTTCAGTATACTGACATGAGACATCCGTATAACGAACTAAAGCAGTTTGAGTTAATTTACTGTCCAAGTGAACAGTAGACATAGTGTGATCTGTTTGGACTCCCAAATCAGTTGAATCACAATGAACCTGAAGTTTCTTCCCTTTCAGAACAGTTCGTTCCTTCTCATGTGCGACACTCATTTCTTTCATCTCAATTGGTGACCTTAAATCGACAGTCTGTGTCCCATCTATTGAATGCATTACTCCAGATTGAATTTGGACATCGTATGTTGTAGAAGATAACGTCGCTTGACAGAATGTATCAGCTAGTTTAGTAGGTGTGGTTTGTGTTGATTGTGAAGTGTTTGGAAGAGTATGCATGGTCGATGAGATTGTTGATCGAACAATGGGAGTAATTTGATCTGTTTGGACTCCCAAATCAGTTGAATCACAACGAACCTGAAGTTTCTTCCCTTTCAGAACAGTTCGTTCCTTCTCATGTGCGACACTCATTTCTTTCATCTCAATTGGTGACCTTAAATCGACAGTCTGTGTCCCATCTATTGAATGCATTACTCCAGATTGAATTTGGACATCGTATGTTGTAGAAGATAACGTCGCTTGACAGAATGTATCAGCTAGTTTAGTAGGTGTGGTTTGTGTTGATTGTGAAGTGTTTGGAAGAGTATGCATGGTCGATGAGATTGTTGATCGAACAATGGGAGTAATTTGATCTGTTTGGACTCCCAAATCAGTTGAATCACAATGAACCTGAAGTTTCTTCCCTTTCAGAACAGTTCGTTCCTTCTCATGTGCGACACTCATTTCTTTCATCTCAATTGGTGACCTTAAATCGACAGTCTGTGTCCCATCTATTGAATGCATTACTCCAGATTGAATTTGGACATCGTATGTTGTAGAAGATAACGTCGCTTGACAGAATGTATCAGCTAGTTTAGTAGGTGTGGTTTGTGTTGATTGTGAAGTGTTTGGAAGAGTATGCATGGTCGATGAGATTGTTGATCGAACAATGGGAGTAATTTGATCTGTTTGGACTCCCAAATCAGTTGAATCACAATGAACCTGAAGTTTCTTCCCTTTCAGAACAGTTCGTTCCTTCTCATGTGCGACACTCATTTCTTTCATCTCAATTGGTGACCTTAAATCGACAGTCTGTGTCCCATCTATTGAATGCATTACTCCAGATTGAATTTGGACATCGTATGTTGTAGAAGATAACGTCGCTTGACAGAATGTATCAGCTAGTTTAGTAGGTGTGGTTTGTGTTGATTGTGAAGTGCTTGGAAGAGTATGCATGGTCGATGAGATTGTTGATCGAACAATAGGCACAGTTTCAAAATGATCAACGCTCACATCAACATGATCAAATCGTAGTCGTTCTTCTGGAATGGTCTGAACTGACTGTGCACAGTGGACAGTACCAGACTGAGTCACAACATCGAACGTGGTTTTCGGTAATACAGTCGGGACTTGAGTCATCGGATCAGTCTGTGTGCTTGTGTTGTCAACTGATTGACGCATTGTTGCCTGAACCTTCTTGCCTACTAATGAAGGTGATTTTTCACTATGAATCACACTAACGTCTGCAGTATGGAATACTGGTCGTTCCTCTGGAATGGTCTGAACTGACTGTGCACATTGGATAGTACCAGACTGAGTCACAACATCGAACGTGGTTTTCGGTAATACAGTCGGGACTTGAATCATCGGATCAGTCTGTGTGCTTGTGTTGTCAACTGATTGACGCATTGTTGCCTGAACCTTCTTGCCTACTAATGAAGGTGATTTTTCACTATGAATCACACTGACGTCTGCAGTATGGAATACTGGTCGTTCCTCTGGAATGGTCTGAACTGACTGTGCACAGTGGATAGTACCAGACTGAGTCACAACATCGAACGTGGTTTTCGGTAATACAGTCGGGACTTGAGTCATCGGATCAGTCTGTGTGCTTGTGTTGTCAACTGATTGACGCATTGTTGCCTGAACCTTCTTGCCTACTAATGAAGGTGATTTTTCACTATGAATCACACTGACGTCTGCAGTATGGAATACTGGTCGTTCCTCTGGAATGGTCTGAACTGACTGTGCACATTGGATAGTACCAGACTGAGTCACAACATCGAACGTGGTTTTCGGTAATACAGTCGGGACTTGAGTCATCGGATCAGTCTGTGTGCTTGTGTTGTCAACTGATTGACGCATTGTTGCCTGAACGTTCTCGTATAACACGGGCTGCAATTTCCCAGTATGATCAACTCCTACACCGACAGTGTTGTATACGGGTCGTTCCTCTGGAATAGTCTGAACTGACTGTGCACAGTGGATAGTACCAGACTGAGTCACAACATCGAACGTGGTTTTCGGTAATACAGTCGGGACTTGAGTCATCGGATCAGTCTGTGTGCTTGTGTTGTCAACTGATTGACGCATTGTTGCCTGAACCTTCTTGCCTACTAATGAAGGTGATTTTTCACTATGAATCACACTGACGTCTGCAGTATGGAATACTGGTCGTTCCTCTGGAATGGTCTGAACTGACTGTGCACAGTGGATAGTACCAGACTGAGTCACAACATCGAACGTGGTTTTCGGTAATACAGTCGGGACTTGAGTCATCGGATCAGTCTGTGTGCTTGTGTTGTCAACTGATTGACGCATTGTTGCCTGAACCTTCTTGCCTACTAATGAAGGTGATTTTTCACTATGAATCACACTGACGTCTGCAGTATGGAATACTGGTCGTTCCTCTGGAATGGTCTGAACTGACTGTGCACAGTGGATAGTACCAGACTGAGTCACAACATCGAACGTGGTTTTCGGTAATACAGTCGGGACTTGAGTCATCGGATCAGTCTGTGTGCTTGTGTTGTCAACTGATTGACGCATTGTTGCCTGAACGTTCTCGTATAACACGGGCTGCAATTTCCCAGTATGATCAACTCCTACACCGACAGTGTTGTATACGGGTCGTTCCTCTGGAATAGTCTGAACTGACTGTGCACAGTGGATAGTACCAGACTGAGTCACAACATCGAACGTGGTTTTCGGTAATACAGTCGGGACTTGAATCATCGGATCAGTCTGTGTGCTTGTGTTGTCAACTGATTGACGCATTGTTGCCTGAACCTTCTTGCCTACTAATGAAGGTGATTTTTCACTATGAATCACACTGACGTCTGCAGTATGGAATACTGGTCGTTCCTCTGGAATGGTCTGAACTGACTGTGCACAGTGGATAGTACCAGACTGAGTCACAACATCGAACGTGGTTTTCGGTAATACAGTCGGGACTTGAGTCATCGGATCAGTCTGTGTGCTTGTGTTGTCAACTGATTGACGCATTGTTGCCTGAACGTTCTCGTATAACACGGGCTGCAATTTCCCAGTATGATCAACTCCTACACCGACAGTGTTGTATACGGGTCGTTCCTCTGGAATAGTCTGAACTGACTGTGCACAGTGGATAGTACCAGACTGAGTCACAACATCGAACGTGGTTTTCGGTAATACAGTCGGGACTTGAGTCATCGGATCAGTCTGTGTGCTTGTGTTGTCAACTGATTGACGCATTGTTGCCTGAACCTTCTTGCCTACTAATGAAGGTGATTTTTCACTATGAATCACACTGACGTCTGCAGTATGGAATACTGGTCGTTCTTCTGGAATGGTCTGAACTGACTGTGCACAGTGGATAGTACCAGACTGAGTCACAACATCGAACGTGGTTTTCGGTAATACAGTCGGGACTTGAGTCATCGGATCAGTCTGTGTGCTTGTGTTGTCAACTGATTGACGCATTGTTGCCTGAACGTTCTCGTATAACACGGGCTGCAATTTCCCAGTATGATCAACTCCTACACCGACAGTGTTGTATACGGGTCGTTCCTCTGGAATAGTCTGAACTGACTGTGCACAGTGGATAGTACCAGACTGAGTCACAACATCGAACGTGGTTTTCGGTAATACAGTCGGGACTTGAGTCATCGGATCAGTCTGTGTGCTTGTGTTGTCAACTGATTGACGCATGTTTACCTGAAGTTTTTTGTTCACCAGTGAATGTGATTTTTCACTATGAATCACACTGACGTCTGCAGTATGGAATACTGGTTGTTCTTCTAGAATAGTTTGTGTTGACTGTGTCTTGACTACCATCCCTGATTGTGCTTGTATATCAAATGTTTTTATATTGACCTTCAGACATTCTGCTTGTGTTTGCTTATGTGCAACTTGCGGAGCTCGAGAAAACACCTGAGCAACGGGTCTGACAGGTTGTACGCTTACCTCTTCGGTTTGCAAACACACATCGTCAGATGGATTGTATACCACAGCTTGAAGTTTCTTGTTTACTGTTTGTACATGATGTGACTCATGAGATACACTCACATTCTTTATATCTGGGATAAGTTTCTGTTCGTGTGGTGTTTGTGTTTCTGAATCTATCTTCACTGATCCCGATTGTGTTTGCACATCAAATGTAGGGTTTGTCGGTGTTGGATGTGCAGAGGTTCCTACTAATTCTGTTTGTATGACTTCGTCTTTCATTTGAGACATTATTGTTGCTTGCAACTTCTTGTTAATTCGTCGATTTTTGAGTTCATGAGTTACACTAGCGTCGGTCTTGTTCACTGTGGTGTGGACCTCTTCTAGTGTTTGTGCTCCCTGTTCTTTTTGAATGATTCCTGATTGTGTCTGTACATTCGTCTGGTGTTTCTGCCTGATATTTATCAGTTGACTTTCATCTGTTTGGACGTAAGTATTGTACACTGGATGTTGAGCATCTGCCTGAATATCTATATTTATCATTGTTCTTTGTACTGCTTCATACTGTGTACTAGTTTCTTTCGTCATTCCGAATGTTTTATGCTCTAATTTTGTCTGCAATCCCTGTGATTTGCAAATGATTCCTGATTGTATTTCTACATCATTTGTTTGAGATTTGATTCGCGCGTAGGACTGACGATCAAAAAATTCTGGACTGTCAGTTTGTGATGATATTTCATGTGTCTGTACAGAGTGATGAATTCTTTGCATCGTGGGTACTGTTACGACTGGTATTGATTCGTATGTCTGCGCGGCTGCCTCTCGAACTGACTGGGAAATAGTTACTTGTAGCTTTTTATTTATTATTTGTGTAGTCGTTGGTGCGTGCTGAACACTTCCTTCCCTTGTAGTTGTTGAAGGTAAACTAAATGTTTGAGTTTCTTCCTGACGACAAAGTACGTCGAATTGAGCTTCTGCATTCCGAATATTAATTACACTTTCATCCTTTATCAGACACTGTATTTCAACGTTTTTACTTTCAACTTGTATGCTAGCTTCGACAGCTTTAGAGAAACAAGAATTGACCGATCTGACATAAGCAACGGCAACATCTTTCATCAAAAAATCTTCCGACATAAGAACAGCTTGACAACCAACAGTAAGAGACAGAGTACCGGACTGAGTCACAACATCGAACGTGGTTTTCGGTAATACAGTCGGGACTTGAGTCATCGGATCAGTCTGTGTGCTTGTGTTGTCAACTGATTGACGCATTGTTGCCTGAACCTTCTTGCCTACTAATGAAGGTGATTTTTCACTATGAATCACACTGACGTCTGCAGTATGGAATACTGGTCGTTCCTCTGGAATGGTCTGAACTGACTGTGCACAGTGGATAGTACCAGACTGAGTCACAACATCGAACGTGGTTTTCGGTAATACAGTCGGGACTTGAGTCATCGGATCAGTCTGTGTGCTTGTGTTGTCAACTGATTGACGCATTGTTGCCTGAACGTTCTCGTATAACACGGGCTGCAATTTCCCAGTATGATCAACTCCTACACCGACAGTGTTGTATACGGGTCGTTCCTCTGGAATGGTCTGAACTGACTGTGCACAGTGGATAGTACCAGACTGAGTCACAACATCGAACGTGGTTTTCGGTAATACAGTCGGGACTTGAGTCATCGGATCAGTCTGTGTGCTTGTGTTGTCAACTGATTGACGCATTGTTGCCTGAACCTTCTTGCCTACTAATGAAGGTGATTTTTCACTATGAATCACACTGACGTCTGCAGTATGGAATACTGGTCGTTCCTCTGGAATGGTCTGAACTGACTGTGCACAGTGGATAGTACCAGACTGAGTCACAACATCGAACGTGGTTTTCGGTAATACAGTCGGGACTTGAGTCATCGGATCAGTCTGTGTGCTTGTGTTGTCAACTGATTGACGCATTGTTGCCTGAACGTTCTCGTATAACACGGGCTGCAATTTCCCAGTATGATCAACTCCTACACCGACAGTGTTGTATACGGGTCGTTCCTCTGGAATAGTCTGAACTGACTGTGCACAGTGGATAGTACCAGACTGAGTCACAACATCGAACGTGGTTTTCGGTAATACAGTCGGGACTTGAGTCATCGGATCAGTCTGTGTGCTTGTGTTGTCAACTGATTGACGCATGTTTACCTGAAGTTTTTTGTTCACCAGTGAATGTGATTTTTCACTATGAATCACACTGACGTCTGCAGTATGGAATACTGGTCGTTCCTCTGGAATGGTCTGAACTGACTGTGCACATTGGATAGTACCAGACTGAGTCACAACATCGAACGTGGTTTTCGGTAATACAGTCGGGACTTGAGTCATCGGATCAGTCTGTGTGCTTGTGTTGTCAACTGATTGACGCATTGTTGCCTGAACCTTCTTGCCTACTAATGAAGGTGATTTTTCACTATGAATCACACTAACGTCTGCAGTATGGAATACTGGTCGTTCCTCTGGAATGGTCTGAACTGACTGTGCACATTGGATAGTACCAGACTGAGTCACAACATCGAACGTGGTTTTCGGTAATACAGTCGGGACTTGAGTCATCGGATCAGTCTGTGTGCTTGTGTTGTCAACTGATTGACGCATTGTTGCCTGAACGTTCTCGTATAACACGGGCTGCAATTTCCCAGTATGATCAACTCCTACACCGACAGTGTTGTATACGGGTCGTTCCTCTGGAATAGTCTGAACTGACTGTGCACAGTGGATAGTACCAGACTGAGTCACAACATCGAACGTGGTTTTCGGTAATACAGTCGGGACTTGAGTCATCGGATCAGTCTGTGTGCTTGTGTTGTCAACTGATTGACGCATTGTTGCCTGAACCTTCTTGCCTACTAATGAAGGTGATTTTTCACTATGAATCACACTGACGTCTGCAGTATGGAATACTGGTCGTTCCTCTGGAATGGTCTGAACTGACTGTGCACAGTGGATAGTACCAGACTGAGTCACAACATCGAACGTGGTTTTCGGTAATACAGTCGGGACTTGAGTCATCGGATCAGTCTGTGTGCTTGTGTTGTCAACTGATTGACGCATGTTTACCTGAAGTTTTTTGTTCACCAGTGAATGTGATTTTTCACTATGAATCACACTGACGTCTGCAGTATGGAATACTGGTCGTTCCTCTGGAATGGTCTGAACTGACTGTGCACAGTGGATAGTACCAGACTGAGTCACAACATCGAACGTGGTTTTCGGTAATACAGTCGGGACTTGAGTCATCGGATCAGTCTGTGTGCTTGTGTTGTCAACCGATTGACGCATTGTTGCCTGAACCTTCTTGCCTACTAATGAAGGTGATTTTTCACTATGAATCACACTGACGTCTGCAGTATGGAATACTGGTCGTTCCTCTGGAATGGTCTGAACTGACTGTGCACAGTGGATAGTACCAGACTGAGTCACAACATCGAACGTGGTTTTCGGTAATACAGTCGGGACTTGAGTCATCGGATCAGTCTGTGTGCTTGTGTTGTCAACTGATTGACACATTGTTGCCTGAACCTTCTTGCCTACTAATGAAGGTGATTTTTCACTATGAATCACACTGACGTCTGCAGTATGGAATACTGGTCGTTCCTCTGGAATGGTCTGAACTGACTGTGCACAGTGGATAGTACCAGACTGAGTCACAACATCGAACGTGGTTTTCGGTAATACAGTCGGGACTTGAGTCATCGGATCAGTCTGTGTGCTTGTGTTGTCAACTGATTGACGCATGTTTACCTGAAGTTTTTTGTTCACCAGTGAATGTGATTTTTCACTATGAATCACACTGACGTCTGCAGTATGGAATACTGGTTGTTCTTCTAGAATAGTTTGTGTTGACTGTGTCTTGACTACCATCCCTGATTGTGCTTGTATATCAAATGTTTTTATATTGACCTTCAGACATTCTGCTTGTGTTTGCTTATGTGCAACTTGCGGAGCTCGAGAAAACACCTGAGCAACGGGTCTGACAGGTTGTACGCTTACCTCTTCGGTTTGCAAACACACATCGTCAGATGGATTGTATACCACAGCTTGAAGTTTCTTGTTTACTGTTTGTACATGATGTGACTCATGAGATACACTCACATTCTTTATATCTGGGATAAGTTTCTGTTCGTGTGGTGTTTGTGTTTCTGAATCTGTCGTCACTGATCCTGATTGTGTTTGGACGTCGAATAACTTTGGTGGTAAGATAACTGGTGGTGGTCTCTCTTCCATCGTCTGAGTCTCTGTGTTAATGGTGGTCGGTTGTACCATTGCTTGTAATTTTTTGTGTACAATTGGTTCTGGACTTTTCTCGTGTTGTGTAATCATGTCTTTCATTTCGACGACGGGTCTCTGTTCACCTGGCGTTTGTGCTGCCTGTGTCTTAAGCATACTTCCAAACTGAGTCTGAACATCGTATGTTTTCAATTTGAATGGCGTAAATGATTGTTCATCTTTTAATGTCACTCGCTCAGTTTGTGTCGGTGTTTCTTGTGTTTGTGGTTCATGATGCGTAGTTTTCACCATGGGCATGACAACAGGTTGTGCTAATAAATCTGTTTGTGTAGCCATGTTTTCAAGTGGTGGGACGACTGTAGCCTGTAACTTCTTGGGAATTGATTGAACAGGTTTTGTTTCTTGATGTACACTTGCATCTCTGGTCTCGACCACTGGCCTACGTTCTAGTGGTGTTTGTGTTTCTGAATCTATCGTCACTGATCCTGATTGTGTTTGGACGTCGAATAACTTTGGTGGTAAGATAACTGGTGGTGGTCTCTCTTCCATCGTCTGAGTCTCTGTGTTAATGGTGGTCGGTTGTACCATTGCTTGTAATTTTTTGTGTACAATTGGCTCTGGACGTTTTTCGTGTTGTGTAAGCAACTCTTTCATTTCAATTACTGGCCTACGTTCTAGTGGTGTTTGTGTTTCTGAATCTATCGTCACTGATCCTGATTGTGTTTGGACATCGAATAACTTTGGTGGTAAGATAACTGGTGGTGGTCTCTCTTCCATCGTCTGAGTCTCTGTGTTAATGGTGGTCGGTTGTACCATTGCTTGTAATTTTTTGTGTACAATTGGTTCTGGACTTTTCTCGTGTTGTGTAATCATGTCTTTCATTTCGACGACGGGTCTCTGTTCACCTGGCGTTTGTGCTGCCTGTGTCTTAAGCATACTTCCAAACTGAGTCTGAACATCGTATGTTTTCAATTTGAATGGCGTAAATGATTGTTTATCTTTTAATGTCACTCGCTCAGTTTGTGTCGGTGTTTCTTGTGTTTGTGGTTCATGATGCGTAGTTTTCACCATGGGCATGACAACAGGTTGTGCTAATAAATCTGTTTGTGTAGCCATGTTTTCAAGTGGTGGGACGACTGTAGCCTGTAACTTCTTGGGAATTGATTGAACAGGTTTTGTTTCTTGATGTACACTTGCATCTCTGGTCTCGACCACTGGCCTACGTTCTAGTGGTGTTTGTGTTTCTGAATCTATCGTCACTGATCCTGATTGTGTTTGGACGTCGAATAACTTTGGTGGTAAGATAACTGGTGGTGGTCTCTCTTCCATCGTCTGAGTCTCTGTGTTAATGGTGGTCGGTTGTACCATTGCTTGTAATTTTTTGTGTACAATTGGTTCTGGACGTTTCTCGTGTTGTGTAAGCAACTCTTTCATTTCAATTACTGGCCTACGTTCTAGTGGTGTTTGTGTTTCTGAATCTATCGTCACTGATCCTGATTGTGTTTGGACGTCGAATAACTTTGGTGGTAAGATAACTGGTGGTGGTCTCTCTTCCATCGTCTGAGTCTCTGTGTTAATGGTGGTCGGTTGTACCATTGCTTGTAATTTTTTGTGTACAATTGGTTCTGGACTTTTCTCGTGTTGTGTAATCATGTCTTTCATTTCGACGACGGGTCTCTGTTCACCTGGCGTTTGTGCTGCCTGTGTCTTAAGCATACTTCCAAACTGAGTCTGAACATCGTATGTTTTCAATTTGAATGGCGTAAATGATTGTTCATCTTTTAATGTCACTCGCTCAGTTTGTGTCGGTGTTTCTTGTGTTTGTGGTTCATGATGCGTAGTTTTCACCATGGGCATGACAACAGGTTGTGCTAATAAATCTGTTTGTGTAGCCATGTTTTCAAGTGGTGGGACGACTGTAGCCTGTAACTTCTTGGGAATTGATTGAACAGGTTTTGTTTCTTGATGTACACTTGCATCTCTGGTCTCGACCACTGGCCTACGTTCTAGTGGTGTTTGTGTTTCTGAATCTATCGTCACTGATCCTGATTGTGTTTGGACGTCGAATAACTTTGGTGGTAAGATAACTGGTGGTGGTCTCTCTTCCATCGTCTGAGTCTCTGTGTTAATGGTGGTCGGTTGTACCATTGCTTGTAATTTTTTGTGTACAATTGGTTCTGGACGTTTCTCGTGTTGTGTAAGCAACTCTTTCATTTCAATTACTGGCCTACGTTCTAGTGGTGTTTGTGTTTCTGAATCTATCGTCACTGATCCTGATTGTGTTTGGACGTCGAATAACTTTGGTGGTAAGATAACTGGTGGTGGTCTCTCTTCCATCGTCTGAGTCTCTGTGTTAATGGTGGTCGGTTGTACCATTGCTTGTAATTTTTTGTGTACAATTGGTTCTGGACTTTTCTCGTGTTGTGTAATCATGTCTTTCATTTCGACGACGGGTCTCTGTTCACCTGGCGTTTGTGCTGCCTGTGTCTTAAGCATACTTCCAAACTGAGTCTGAACATCGTATGTTTTCAATTTGAATGGCGTAAATGATTGTTCATCTTTTAATGTCACTCGCTCAGTTTGTGTCGGTGTTTCTTGTGTTTGTGGTTCATGATGCGTAGTTTTCACCATGGGCATGACAACAGGTTGTGCTAATAAATCTGTTTGTGTAGCCATGTTTTCAAGTGGTGGGACGACTGTAGCCTGTAACTTCTTGGGAATTGATTGAACAGGTTTTGTTTCTTGATGTACACTTGCATCTCTGGTCTCGACCACTGGCCTACGTTCTAGTGGTGTTTGTGTTTCTGAATCTATCGTCACTGATCCTGATTGTGTTTGGACGTCGAATAACTTTGGTGGTAAGATAACTGGTGGTGGTCTCTCTTCCATCGTCTGAGTCTCTGTGTTAATGGTGGTCGGTTGTACCATTGCTTGTAATTTTTTGTGTACAATTGGTTCTGGACTTTTCTCGTGTTGTGTAATCATGTCTTTCATTTCGACGACGGGTCTCTGTTCACCTGGCGTTTGTGCTGCCTGTGTCTTAAGCATACTTCCAAACTGAGTCTGAACATCGTATGTTTTCAATTTGAATGGCGTAAATGATTGTTCATCTTTTAATGTCACTCGCTCAGTTTGTGTCGGTGTTTCTTGTGTTTGTGGTTCATGTTGCGTAGTTTGCACCACTCTGAAATCCATTTCGTGCTGCATTCCAGTTGATCGTTTTTCTGTTGTTGGCTTGTAATCTAATAATGTCTGGAATGCTTGGGAAATATTTATCGTCCCTGACTGTGTTTGTACGTCATAATTTTTACTTCTTATTCGAGTGAACGTTTGTTGGCTCCTCATTTTTACTTCAGCTTCTGGTGAACTTTCTATGGTTTGCGTTTCTTTTGAACTACATTTTACGAATGTTTCAACGTCTTTATTTTTTGTTAATATACCGAATTGAGTCGTTACCTCAAATGTTTCTTTCTGTTTCGCCCTCACTAAGTTCGTCGATATTAAATTTTCTCTAGTTATCTCGTCTGTTTGCATATTTATATGTTTAAATGCCTGTTTGATATCTGCCTGTACTTGTCTGCTTTGACGATCTGTGTTTGGTGGCACCTGGTATGAACCTAGGTGCCTTACAGCACCTTCTGGTCTTGGATCTACTCCCACTGAAATTATTGAAGGAATCTCTGACTGTGTGGATACTTCATGGTTTACCTGACCAACCTGACATATAACATCGTTGACAGCCTTCGACACAAACTTCGGTTCCACTCGGAATCCCATATCTGTCTGAATCTCCTTAGTGTATGTTGGTGTTTTGGCACTTTGAGTTCCCGTTAGTAACATTGAAGTTTTGTGAGGTTCATCTATCTGGATCCCTGAAGATTCCATAACACTTCCTACTTGACATACTACATCGGACGATGGTTTGCGTGACATATGCTTAATTAAGTCGGCCTGTTGGTAGGCATCTACGGTTTCTTTGTACGATGTTATCGGTACATCCTGTGTTTCTATTGGCTTCACATAGACCGGTTGTTCTTGTATTAGTTCAGCTTGTGTTATTTTCGATGTGTGGACAATCCCTGTTTGTGTGACGACATCGTTGGCCATCTTCTTTTCCCACACGTGAATCGGGTCAATGCCAGTATCCTTGTATGCTGGTCTAGCGGTGACATGTTCAACTGACTGTGTGGATACTTCATGGTTTACCTGACCAACCTGACATATAACATCGTTGACAGCCTTCGACACAAACTTCGGTTCCACTCGGAATCCCATATCTGTTTGAATCTCCTTAGTGTATGTTGGTGTTTTGGCACTTTGAGTTCCCGTTAGTAACATTGAAGTTTTGTGAGGTTCATCTATCTGGATCCCTGAAGATTCCATAACACTTCCTACTTGACATACTACATCGGACGATGGTTTGCGTGACATATGCTTAATTAAGTCGGCCTGTTGGTAGGCATCTACGGTTTCTTTGTACGATGTTATCGGTACATCCTGTGTTTCTATTGGCTTCACATAGACCGGTTGTTCTTGTATTAGTTCAGCTTGTGTTATTTTCGATGTGTGGACAATCCCTGTTTGTGTGACGACATCGTTGGCCATCTTCTTTTCCCACACGTGAATCGGGTCAATGCCAGTATCCTTGTATGCTGGTCTAGCGGTGACATGTTCAACTGACTGTGTGGATACTTCATGGTTTACCTGACCAACCTGACATATAACATCGTTGACAGCCTTCGACACAAACTTCGGTTCCACTCGGAATCCCATATCTGTTTGAATCTCCTTAGTGTATGTTGGTGTTTTGGCACTTTGAGTTCCCGTTAGTAACATTGAAGTTTTGTGAGGTTCATCTATCTGGATCCCTGAAGATTCCATAACACTTCCTACTTGACATACTACATCGGACGATGGTTTGCGTGACATATGCTTAATTAAGTCGGCCTGTTGGTAGGCATCTACGGTTTCTTTGTACGATGTTATCGGTACATCCTGTGTTTCCATTGGCTTCACATAGACCGGTTGTTCTTGTATTAGTTCAGCTTGTGTTATTTTCGATGTGTGGACAATCCCTGTTTGTGTGACGACATCGTTGGCCATCTTCTTTTCCCACACGTGAATCGGGTCAATGCCAGTATCCTTGTATGCTGGTCTAGCGGTGACATGTTCAACTGACTGTGTGGATACTTCATGGTTTACCTGACCAACCTGACATATAACATCGTTGACAGCCTTCGACACAAACTTCGGTTCCACTCGGAATCCCATATCTGTTTGAATCTCCTTAGTGTATGTTGGTGTTTTGGCACTTTGAGTTCCCGTTAGTAACATTGAAGTTTTGTGAGGTTCATCTATCTGGATCCCTGAAGATTCCATAACACTTCCTACTTGACATACTACATCGGACGATGGTTTGCGTGACATATGCTTAATTAAGTCGGCCTGTTGGTAGGCATCTACGGTTTCTTTGTACGATGTTATCGGTACATCCTGTGTTTCTATTGGCTTCACATAGACCGGTTGTTCTTGTATTAGTTCAGCTTGTGTTATTTTCGATGTGTGGACAATCCCTGTTTGTGTGACGACATCGTTGGCCATCTTCTTTTCCCACACGTGAATCGGGTCAATGCCAGTATCCTTGTATGCTGGTCTAGCGGTGACATGTTCAACTGACTGTGTGGATACTTCATGGTTTACCTGACCAACCTGACATATAACATCGTTGACAGCCTTCGACACAAACTTCGGTTCCACTCGGAATCCCATATCTGTTTGAATCTCCTTAGTGTATGTTGGTGTTTTGGCACTTTGAGTTCCCGTTAGTAACATTGAAGTTTTGTGAGGTTCATCTATCTGGATCCCTGAAGATTCCATAACACTTCCTACTTGACATACTACATCGGACGATGGTTTGCGTGACATATGCTTAATTAAGTCGGCCTGTTGGTAGGCATCTACGGTTTCTTTGTACGATGTTATCGGTACATCCTGTGTTTCTATTGGCTTCACATAGACCGGTTGTTCTTGTATTAGTTCAGCTTGTGTTATTTTCGATGTGTGGACAATCCCTGTTTGTGTGACGACATCGTTGGCCATCTTCTTTTCCCACACGTGAATCGGGTCAATGCCAGTATCCTTGTATGCTGGTCTAGCGGTGACATGTTCAACTGACTGTGTGGATACTTCATGGTTTACCTGACCAACCTGACATATAACATCGTTGACAGCCTTCGACACAAACTTCGGTTCCACTCGGAATCCCATATCTGTTTGAATCTCCTTAGTGTATGTTGGTGTTTTGGCACTTTGAGTTCCCGTTAGTAACATTGAAGTTTTGTGAGGTTCATCTATCTGGATCCCTGAAGATTCCATAACACTTCCTACTTGACATACTACATCGGACGATGGTTTGCGTGACATATGCTTAATTAAGTCGGCCTGTGTTGATTGTGCTATTTGAACCTGTCCTATTTGACACATTATATCACTTTTCTTCATATCTTGTCTTATAATTTGTTCATTACTGATGAGCATTGATGACATCTCCGTACTTGCGTTTATCGTTATCCTACCTATTTGACATGCGGCTTCAGTTGTTTTCACTGGGTGTTGCCATACATTTTTGATTTCTGCTTGTACTCCAAGATTTTTCTTATTTCTTTCTGTATTCTCTATTTCTATTTGTGTTCCAATTGTTTGTGTAACCTGTCCTATTTGACAGATAGCATCTAGTACGCTGTATTTTCGTGCACCTTTTTGTGATTCAGGTACGTCCATTTTAACAACGGTTTCCGTGATGCTTTCCGACTGAGTGGAATTATTCTTAGTGATAACACCAGATTGAACTATCGCATCCAAAGTTGGCTTTTTAAGCGTTTGTTGCAGCTTGTAATGTTCTAATGTCTGACATGAAGCATTCGCTGTAATTTGACCTATTTGACATAATACTTCTTTAACTGAACGCTTAGGACTGTATCCATGATAGTCATCTTGTGTGCCTGCATCGACTTTTGAAACTCCAATTTGAGTTATTGCATTTCTTACTTGTTTTCTTTCAGGAATCGTCGCTGGCACAAATTGTCTTTTAGATACACATAAATCTATTTTATTACGACCACCATCACCGTCGTCATCAGAAATTTGAGTCCCTGATGTTTTGGTTGTAACACCAATTTGTGTAATAGCATCAAGTACTGGACATGGAATTGATTCTGATCTTGTTCTAGACGATAATCGTGATGTTTCTCTCACTATAGATTGAGGTGATCTTGCATCTAATGGATACATTTGATTATTACCTGTCCAATTGTCAGATATTGTACTAGATTTTAAACTAGAACTTATTCTAGAATTGGTTATACTAGAATCAACATTCGGTTCATGTTCATATCGGCTACTCCATCTTTTCACACGATTTATCAATTGATCCAACTGAGACTGACTCTCATGTTGTAACTGACTAAATAAATAAACATAAGAAAAGTATAAAAATATAAACCATTATGATTACACATATGCTTGTTAAGACATTGTTAAAACATATATCACACAATTCTGATAAACTTCGTCTTCTCATTGCATTATCGAAATTTATCAAATGGACTAATTGTTTTAAATAAACCAGTATAGTATTTTAAAATAAATTGTATTTAATTATGTAATGATCTTTCTTCGACCCTTTTTCAAATATAATTTGAACAACACATATAAGCGAACAATATTGTTTTCAATTAGATCGTCATCAGGCTTTACTCTAATATATATGAATATTTATACGAAAATGTTAAACCAATCAAGGCAATATGGATTAACAATCACAATGAAATTTTCCGCCTCTTTCCGTTTGTATTCTTCACTATCGAATTATTTACACACTTCTTATTACGTAATGATTTTAATGTTTTGTGTTGATTATTCCAGGTCTATTTACTCACGTTTGACCTTCTATTTCCAACGTTTAACTATTGATAAGACTTTTGTTATTGTATATTATTATTATTACTATTATCAGTACACCTATCTTCCTACTATCAACTTGTATTTTTACCTATTATGTGTGGTGGCCTATTCTATTTCATTGTGATTATTGACCCACATATTGCCTTGATTGGTTTAACATTTTCGTATAAATATTCATGTATATTAGAGTAAAGCCTGATGACGATCTAATTGAAAACAATATTGTTCGCTTATATGTGTTGTTCTAATTTCCACAATGGGAATCTTCAATATTCTAAAATATAATTTGAACAATTCTGATTCAGCAATTTTAATAATGTTTTAGCTAATTTTATTTCAATCTCTATTTTTTTTTCTAACCTTTTGACGTACTTCCCATTAAAATACGTTGATCTAAGCCTTTATTATTCTTTAATCCAAGTAAATCGCCTAATTTAGAATTTGATAGTAAAATGAACAAATAGTTATCACCATGTACTGAAAACAGTTCATTATTATCTATCTGTTCACATTGATATTGAAGTTATTCCACAGTATAAAGTAAACTAATCAATCCACAATCCTATGCACACTCGTGACTAGCTCTGAGAGGTAATTCCGTGGTCTTAGTGAGAAGCTGTGACCAGTGAAGCTAATCCGTGTAGAGTGTGTAGTAGTTACTCACCGAAGACAGTGGAAAGTGGTCGCGCAATGTCGTAAATTTATTGGAGTTAGACATCCACACTGTTGGACTGAGACTCAGTGGTCTGGAGGTTAGGCGTTTGCACACGAGACCGAAGGTCTAGGGTTAAATTTCCGCGTTCGTGGTGGCAGATACACACTTCTGAGGATCCTCATACTAGGATGAAACATTGGTCCAGTGCTTCCAAGTTTCCGATGCTGGTCCCAGTCAGTCAGCTACAACGTAGGACCAGGCACATTTGCTAGCCTAACTTACATTGGTTATTACTTTGAATTAGAGTATATAATGAAATGAATAAATCATTAGTTTGTAAAATTCTGATTAAGAGCGGTGGAATATTTAACTTATACTCTGGTAAAAGATGACTCATAAAAATCCAGTAAAATTACAACTCAAACAAAATGGACACATTTTACATAACGTGAAGTTAGTTGGTTGGCACATGATTATGTTAAAGAATAAAAAGTGGTGAAAAATTGGAAGTAATATGTTACAAATAATGAGAACGAATAAAGTATATAGCGGAAATAATCGGATTTCAGCGCGAAATTCGTTCTTGCACTACAGCTGATGAGAATTGGTTACGTGTTCATGAATTTTTAATACATCTCAATATTTAATATGTGTTTGATATTTAGCACTTTTCTGCTCCGTTAGTCAGTGAACGATATATGTAACAGTATAATTTTCATTGCAGATTTGATTTCAAATACTAATCTGTAGTTTATTGGCTCGTTTCATCCACTAAGTTGGGATACGCCACAATAGCGTGTTCACAAATGATATAAGTTAGTAGGTTTAGACGATTAGAATGAAGTCTCTAATGAAAATTACAGTCTTATATGAAGTATTGATAAGCTAAATGAACAGGAAAATAGTCGGAAATGCTAGATATGGCACTTTTATTGAACATTGATAGAGGATAGTTGTCTTCACACAGCTGAGAGCATTTCCTCATGAAACCTAGTAATTCATATGTAAGGGTAGGGTACTCATGTTAAAACTTTATCAATTACAAGTATACTACATTTTTTATCATAAATCCTTTTATAACCAAACACTGTTTCCTCGGCTGGAAAGTGGTTCAAGGTTATCTGTATAATTTACTTCCACTAGATAATGAATACTTTATCGTTTTAAGGTATCATTACTAAAGTTTGACTTGATAATTTTGAAAAAGCTGAGTACTGAGTGGATCGTTATTAATAAAAATAATATATTTGTAATAACCCAATAAATATAAAAATTAGATTTTCTGACATTTCGTGACTCAGTGTAAGTCACTTCTTCGGAGAATGAATAACTAAGTCAAACTTAATCCAAGTTTAGACAGTACAGAGGAACAACGTTAGATAAACTAATTTTTCTACCCATTGGGATATTAAAAATATGTTATTTCATTTACTTCGTCGTTTTATTCTTGTGTTTATTGTGTCTTCGTAACTTAGCCCGACTATACTATACTGACGGCCCTGAGTGGCTAATCAAAATAAGTCTAACCCATGCGCAAATTAAAAACGCCATTACGGATAGGTTGTTACCAAAACTCATGACCTCCATTATATTTTTTTATTTCGAAAGGATTGGATTATGGTGTCCTTGGGGAATGAACTGTTAAGGTCAGGATGTTTGGGTTACGGATTGTAGGATTTGAACTCAGGATTAAGGCTAGGAGTATTAGTGTTCAGGAGCTTTTGGGTTATGAGTTACGTTTGAAAAGATAAGGAGCCAAGAATTATGTTCTAAACTGAGTACAAAACCATGATATCCAGCCTGAATTATTGATATTAAGCACTATAAGTTCATTAATGATTTAGAAACTCTTGACCCTCTGTATTTCTATTTTTTCTATATTTCCAAGCTCCTAGCCGGGACCTGCATTCTGATTGGCTGTTCTCAAGGCTATCCGTAAATTTACTGAAGTTCGTTTGCATGGGATAGATTTGCCACTTATTTTCTTCACCTTATCATGTCTATCTGACAGTAGTAGAGTAGACATTGTAAAAAAAACTACAGTGGAGCTAATCTGTGTCGGGTAGAGACAGGTGTCTACCTCGTTACAATGGAAGATGGTCGCGTAATTTCGTGGACTGGTTGAGGTTAGACATTAACACCATTTGATACCGGCCCAACGGTCCAGTAGGTTAGGCGTCCACGCGCAAAACTGAAGGCCCTGGATTTCAATCCCGCGAGCGGGGTCGTGGATGCGCACTGCTGAGGGGTCCCACGATAGAACGAAACGGCCGTCCAGTGCTTCCAGGTTTTCAATGGTGGCCTAACACCAATCGGTTCATGATCTCAGTTAAAAATAAATACAATTGTCGTCATTAATTTACATAATTATCATCCCACATGAACCTGTATATATTTAAGTCTGTTGAGCCCATTAATTAACCTATTAAGCAGATAGACAGTGCCATTTTGATATGCATCAAGTCACCTGTATTCTCTATACATATCTCTTCATGCAACCGATGAGCACAAGTAAAAGCTACGCATTTATTTCTTTTGCTTGCTTGAATGTTAGTTGCTTAAAGCTCTTGATGAATCACCCGTATATTCTTATATATTTTAGCTTGTTAAATCACATTAATTTCTTCGTTAATTAATCAATTTCCCTCTTCCTATCGTTTACTTGCCAATCGTTAGATATGAGCTATGTCTGGAATAAACTGTTCCCAAAACTTCATTCCGACTTTTGGAGACCGCACATCATTAGGAATTATAGTAATAACGGTCATCAAGTTGATTAATACATGAAGTATAAGGATAGTAGTAATTGATATTCGACAACAAATTGTACAGTAACGGAAATTTTTGAAAATGAAGAACCTATTGGGGTAATAATTAGTTTTCACATTTGTTAGCCTATCTTAGAGGATCAATGATCATAGAACTTGTTTTATGTGGGAAACAAATTATACCAGAAATCATAAGTTTTGAGATCAGTCGATTCTATAAGGATAACATGTGATATTGATTGATGACCTCAAACAGTGACGAAAGCTCTAAACTTTCAATTATTACTTTGTAACTATGATTGACTTAGATAGCTTTAGATTTCATGGCAAAATGAAATTAATGATATGCCTTCCTCAACTACCAAATATGCTACAAATTATGTCCAATCATGTCTTTGAAAAAAAACTTTTTTAATTCAGGTTAGGAGTTTCTTGAATCTTTATCAAATATGAACACTTTGTTAGTATAGTCTGAATTTATATACATGTTCGATAGCTTCCATCACAGAATACCATCGTCTGTAGAATAAAGTGAGAATCAGAGAGCGCTGGACAACTATCTTTACTCATTTCGGGACTGCACATCAATTTGCACACATAACCGTACACAGAATCGATCCTATGATTTTGAGGTGACTACAAACCCATTAGGCTATTAAGTTCAAAGCCACTGTCCCGTAGTTCCAACTTCAATTAATTCATGATGTATGATACGATAATCATTCAATTACATAAGTGACAACCACCTCACTGGTGTGTGTTTTGAGAAAACTAAGAAAAAAATAATCCCAACAATTATTGAAAATTAACTAACTCTATCAACGATAATTCATGATCAACTCGTTTTTGATCTGCATCGATTTCACGTAAATAATTTGTCATATGAGTTCCAGCCAGTTCAGATTGTGCACGTAAATGGTCCATTTGCCGTTCATGATCACGTAGTCTTAACAATGGACTATGCATACAAACAATATCTTGTTCTCTTAAAACTACTCCGCCATGTGAACTACGTTGTCGACTAACTAATAAAGAAAAAGCAGTAAACAGAAGAAAAATTTTAATAAGCAATCTTATCATAAGTAATCAGTAAAAAAAGGCCTATACGAAAGTATTCATTGAATACAGTGTAAACTATTCACTATGCTATAGGTATCAATGTCAAAGCTAGACTTGATAGTTTCAAATAAATTACGCATTGGATAGAAAGTTATTGATACATATATGTTTTGTTATATTCCAATAAGTAGGAAATCGTATTTTCGACGTTTCGTGACTTAATGTAAGCGACTTCTTCAGAGTTAATAAATGACCGAATTACTCTGAATAAGTGGCTTACATTAAGTCATGAAACGTCAAAAATATAAATTTCCTACTCATTGGGACATAACAAAAAAATACTTATTATTCACCATACTCTTAGAAATGTAAGTAGTATGTTCCGCTTTAGTTAATTTATGTCGTGTGCCACCATCTCGCCTAATAGTCAGAAAGTGTGGGTGGCCTATGCTCCTCCACGAGGAGTAACAGGCGTAAGTAAGTAATGGTCAGAAAACAGCTTAAATAACCTAAGTTACGTGATTGATTCGAGTATATTACTAATGATTTAGACCTGATAAACTGAAGAGATTTGTTCTTTGATCAGATTAGATTAGTATTACTATTAATTACGAAATATTTGAACGAATTTTCACCGTAATACTACAAATATCTCAAAAAGCGTCAATTCGAATGTTGCGCTCAAGCTAGTTTTCTTTAGTATTCGATAACTCTCTCTACTTATAATGTTGAATAGATCACGTGACTATAATTTACACTTGATCGACCGAGTAGCACAAACCATCATGCGAAGACGATCTAAATTATCTTAACAATATGGTGGAATAAAATGTTTTTAAAACAGAATAGTCATCTTATGTATAGGTGTTCAATCGACAACACTCATTTTAACCCTCGAACTAGTAAAAGTTCAGTTTATACCAACTCTGCGTCAACATTTATATTTGAAATCAAATAAATATTGTCACAGCTAAATACGTCTGTCTGTTGATTTTTATGGCGCTTCGTCACGTATGCTTACCTGTAGATGACTTAATTTTTTTCTATACAGCAAATTAATTAAGGTCTGCCCTGATATTTTATTGAATAGTAAGTATGAATCATCTATTGTTAATCCCACCAATATATTACCTTGTTTATATAAGATGGGTTAACAGATAAATTTCCCGGCTTAGTTTACCTTGTAGAAGCTATTTCCTCTACATCTGAGTATTTACGCAGGCCAAATCTCCTAGTAGTATTATAAATTTACTCAAGACTATTCAAAAGCCAGAACACCAGCTGTAGAGACAGTATTTTGTTAATGACTAATAAAAACCCTCAAGAGCGGAGATAGCAAGCAAACAGGGAAACGAGTGGGTGTGTGTATCTGAGTTAAAAATCCATATATATATTTATGAGTGTTAATCGATTGTGGATAAATTATTGCCTATGTTTACAACTAATGAGAGAGGAGAAAGATTATTGATGTATAGACACGCGTTCAATCAAACTCACACATAATTTTATGTGGTGGATTAAATGTCTAAGATACAGCAAGTATAAACAAATAATAAAATAATTGAATGGGCTTACTACAGCCTACAAAAGTGTCTGTGATCTATACAAACTTGCAGTGAATAATGAGTCATACCACTAGACCAGTGAGTCCAAAAGTACTTAAGATATAAGACAATTTTGACCACTGTTACAATTAGGTTCTTTTAATAATAGAATGGCAAAGACACCGATTTAGTTTGGGCACTGTTCATGTGATATGAATACATTTGAAAAATTCATGAATGCTAACTAATTTTGGTGTTTTGTTCTCTGAGCTAGATGGTTTGGTCGTGGAGCTTTAATCGCTATTCTGAATAACGTCATCAACACAAAATTCAATTAGAAGTGTTAGTTTGTCCATATATGGCTCACAACTTATTCTGTAGATCTCGATCTTGATTGAATATTGTTGACTTCTTTATTTTGATTATATCTCCCATTGATTTGATCCTTACTTCTATATCTGTTCATAATTTTTCTGATTGGTTAGTAAATTGAATCGATTTCACAGTGTTTGTTGACTGCTGATTGACCTGAATGCCTAGCTTCTGAAAACTCTCCGGTGTTTTTAGAATTCTCTCTTTCCGAGATCTCAACATTTTTCCAGTCGAATGTGTGTTCAAAGTTGTCACATGTATTGATATAAGCGAGAATATGCCATGGCGTTTGACCGCTCATTGATGTTCGTGCAGTCGAAGATGAAGTGGGCAACACGATGTAGTGTTTTTCGCACATGGAATTCTTTATTTTGTAGATGGTGGTCGGTTTTTCTACTTTTGTCATTTCATCTTTTGGTCTGCACAGTATTGATTGAAGTGATCGATAGCGGTCATATGGTGGACAGAAACAAGTCGTTCAAAGTTATTTATCGGATTCCCACTAGTTTTCCTTATGGTGTTCGATCTCGTCTCTTACACATAGCAGAAGCTATAGGAATTCGAGCCAACAAGCCAAGTCTTTGTGTCCAGAAGAAATTTGTAACTCCCTTATCTCTCCCTTGGCCTTAAGTAATAAATGAATGTATTTATTTATTTATTTATTCTCTTTGTTTATTATTTTTCTTCACACCCTCCTACCACTTTATTTTCTCTCAACTATACGTTTCATGGTCCAATTATCTGAACATTTCTTATTACGTCATCTTATAATTTTATAATTGTTATCTCAGTTTCTATATTTTTCTAATCATTGACCTATTTCAGATTATGTAACATTGATTTGAACCTTTATTATTATTGCTTATCAAAAAACTAATGCACCTGTTGTCACACCATCAATTTGTACTTTTCACATTTTACTTATTATGTAATCTTTTCCATTGTTATCATTGACTTATAAACTACCTTGATTGGTTTAATAATTTCGTATATGCATATAAATATTACTGTATATTAGAGTAAAGCCTGATGAGGATCTAATCGAAAACAATATTGTTCGCTTATATATGTTGTTCTAAATTTACAATATGGGAATATTTCAAATTTTGAAGTGATTTTGTTGGTTTATGTGCTACACCTATTCCACGAAGCTTCGACAATCTCGTAATTTTTGATATGCCTTTTACATATGGTAGGATGGTCCGTTTGTTGGTTTCTGTGCTTGATTTTGTTTCTGCTGATCCATTTTGTTGGTATTTTTTGATGAAGTTGAGTGGGTAGCCATTCTTTTGAAAGGTAGTCTTAAGATATTTCTCTTCATTTTTCCGCACCGCAAATGTGTCTTGCAGTGTGTCCTTGCCTTCTTGGTTTGTGTATATTCGGCCTACCGTAGAATTGAAGGAGTACTTGTCCATTGGATTTTATTCTCCATTAATCTTACTTTGATATTTGTCCTGCTTTGAAAAGCTTGTTTAAAGTCCTTGAGTTTTGGTTGTCTAAGCTTTTGACTGAATTTATGTCTATTGGTTTGTCTACACTTTTATCCCCAAGTAATTTCTCAGCTTTCCTGATATATTCTTCCTTATCCATAATTACTGTAGTGTGTACTCTATTCACTGGGACTATGACAATATATTCTCTAGTTCTGAGTTTATTTAAGACTTTTTGTTCTTGTGGAATCAGTTGGATGTTATCTTCCTTCCGTCGAACTGACTAACTAATTTTCTAGCATTGAGTTTTCAGCATAGCCTGTAGCTCGTAATTCTCATCATATATAAACACATAAGTACTCGGAGGTAACTAGGACGAAGTAACTATCCAACCCTTCCTGAATTTCAATGGTCTATTTATTTTCAATACACTAGATATACTTTCACAGTGTTTTTTTCCTTTTGAGATTTTATGTAACATGTCTATGAGTTATAAGTTTGTGTATTCAACTTTAAACCGTATTGTTTGTGTTCAAGCTACTGATACCATCCTAGTTGCTGAAATCAAAATTAGTGAAACTTGGTTTGAATCTATTCTTTTATAATATCACTGCTTTGTCTTTTGAGAAGTTGTACTTCAGCAAATAATAGAGGTCAATATGTCATTCAAAAGTTTACGATAAACAATTTGATTTTAAGCACATTATCATTTTGATAGAACAATGACAAGAATGTGTTAAATGATTGTGTTCTTTTCTTTTTTTTTCTTCTTTTTCTTTCAAATACATATTCATTATCATTATACATCCATATCATTAACATATGAAAAGGAATAAGACTACTGAATTATTTTATTTTCAAATTTATCATTGAATTCACTTAAGATAGAAAGGTATTTTCAGTACAATAAACTATTAGTTATAATGTATATACTCAGATACATGTAAAAGATTGAACAATATATCACTCCTATGTTACACATATTGACAAGTATTAAATTAAGAATAGTAAGTATAGTTATTTGTTAAGATCCTGTCAATTATATCATTTTAGTTAGTAAACAATATTCCGTATTTATTATTATTATTATTATTATTATTATTATTATTATTATTATTATTATTATTATTATTATTATTATTATTATTATTATTATTATTGAGTTTCATTGTACGAACTATTTTTATTATTCTCTTAACATTCCAAAACTTATTCTATTTAGTTAAAACAAAGAATGTTATTCCCTTGGTGTTGTTTTACTCGTATAAATTTCATTGTTATTTAGGACTGAAATTGATCAGTCTCATGTTGGCATATGTGCATCCTGTGCGGATTGCCTTGATATAACCCTAAGTTACAAGCTTTTTAGGCAAAGATCGATGATTGCTAGAAGTGGAATCCAGGCCGCACGTTCCGTCCTATTTGGGACTCGTCAGATGGATGTGCCTGCATCCTTGAGTGAACATCAACTCTGGGATGCAGGTGCATCCAGCTGAGGAATCCCGAATAGGATGAAACGCGCGTACTGGATTCCACTGGTAGCCACTATCTATCTTTGCTTAAAGAATGTTATCTTTTATAGAGAAACGAAAAATAGTACAATGTAAGTAAATAAACATATTACTTACTATCTGTCATTTTTAATCTCTCTGTAAATGCATATATAGCTTGATTTAATTCAACTGCTCTTGTATCATTAGGTAATAGAAGACCTCTTAAATCTTCCAGAAAATTATCCATAGCTATTTTATGCTGATATTGAATATCCTGTATAGATTTAAAAAAAAGGAAAACATAAGTACGAATAAGAATCATCAACTTGTTTGCAGCTCTATACAAACAATCATTACTGTATATGCAAAGATGAATAGTGACAAGTAATAGAATGCAGGATATATATATTTTTGTCCCACTTTGAAACTCATGAATTGAATGAACTTATATTTCAGTGTGTTGATGTTCACTACGAAACTTGAAGTTTAATACCTTTGGCTTTAAACGTTTAGAACGTAATCCATTAAGCTAATGAATCCAGATAATCGCTAGCTTGTACGATGGGGATGAATTTTATGTTTTTCCAAGAAATGTAAATATTGCTAACTCCATGCTTTATCATACCAAAGTGTAAAGTAAATAAAATTCATATTCAGTCAGTATTCGGAAAACATATTAATTGGTTAAAACTTTATTATGTTACTAATGTCAGTTGAAGGCTTAGGAATTCCTTAAGACATCAATAAAATTGCTGTATAACCACATAAGAGTCAATCCTGAAACACTATTACGATTACATACTACTTGTAAGTAGCTTCATTTAATAAACACAAAAGTTGTTGCAAGTGAACTGGTAGATGACTTTTATGATGAATAGGAAAACATCTTGATCTGAAGAACCAATGAGAAGCCTAGTGAGAAGATCAATCAATGGCAGTCAGAAGTGACCTAAAGGACAAGTGCACTTTATTGGCCAAGAAATGGATCAATTTTCTAAACATTAGAGTGGTATATATATGAATGAGTAATCATGCGTTTTATTCGGTAGGCCAATACACTTTCTCGCTCAAGCAGTCAGTTGAGGTTGGGGGTGAACGCGTAACACACTGTGTATTTGTACCAGATTTCGGACGCCACACATCATATCACACCTGCTCAAGCATGAATATGTATATTTCTTTCTCTTCAATGACAGTTTATTATTTCCCTCGGTTGTTTTTAAAAAGAAAGAATTAACCAGTAAACCTCTCAACTTTTACAAATCACCACTTTAACATCCTTTATTAGGAGTCATTGTGTTCTGCTTATGATGAAATATTTTTCTATCACTCGAATGCTGAATTTTAAATAAAAAAGGAAATGATCGTATATTTGTGAAAATAAGATTCTTTTGTCAAAGTAACCTTGAATATTGATTATTTTTATTCTTAAGCCACAATAAAGTTGGTTTTCCTAACTGGGACCCGTTTAAAACAAAGAGAGTAATGGATACCCATTTCCCCCTTATATCAGAGATTTTAATAGTTCATACTCACAAACTAGCCAGGGGTCTTACTCAGGACCTTCATGTCACTTAGAGAATGTTTAACACTTGCTTAACACTACTCTAGATGAGCATTCAATAGTTTACATTTCCAAGTCTAACCAAATCTTTATTTAACCCGATATAAATGAAAATCAACTGAAATATTCTCAAAATAACTAAACAATAAAAAGAAGTAAACTAAAGAATAAAACTTACTCCATTTTCTGCCATTTGATTTAATAAACAACTGTAATATGATCTTAGTCGTTCACGTGATCTTTCCACAAGTAAATCCCATGATTCAATACATTTTTCACGAAGTCTAAACAATGCAACAAGTTAATAAATTGTTTAATGATTGTTGAAAAATGTGTATAGACATGAATGAAATAATAACTGATTAGCTTGTAATACTTAACTTTCAACCATTTGATCACAGGTTCGAAACAGGTTTCATATCCTTTAATCTAACTGACTAATTAACATTATATACTGTTATGTACAAATTATTATGCACTAAAACCAAGTTAACAAAATCTATAGTTGGTAAAATTAGAAAGAAGTTTTTTTAATATCAAAATTGTAATCAAACACAAAGTGTTCTTAAGCATGGAGATAGATACATGTTCACTTGTTCAGTTTAGTTAATATAGTATACCATAATCATTTTCAAATAATGTTAACTTTCAAAAAAAAAAAATAATAAAACACTCAAATTTCATTCTTTAGCTTCAATTGGAAAACAAAACTATGCTTGAATGTTATTTTGTGAAGATCCTAAACATTCATTGCTATTGTAGTTTAGATGTGTGAAAAAGTTTGTGCAACATGTACTCTAATTTATGTAAATTGTTTACATTAGTTTTGAATAGCTTTGATCTGTAGCAATATATTGTTTATTTGTTTGTTTGTTTGTTCTTGAAGCTTGCAAGTGTTCTTGTTTACAGATTGAAAAAAGTTTATTTTCAAATGTGTCTATTATATACCTAGTTATTATTTAGAATGAAAGAACATATATCAGCTTAGTTCTACAATTCAATTGGTATTGTTCGGCTTGTATCTTCCCATTGAGGTTTAAGACTGTAGTTATTGGCATATGTGCATACTATGCGTATACCTCGATATTGCCTTAATTCACAAGCCAAACAATAACAAGTGAATCTAAATTCACCTCATTGCACAAGCAGGTGGCTATCAGGACTCAGTAGCTGAGTGGATAACGCCGATGGCGTTTGAAGCGAATGGTACTGGGTTCGAGTCCCAGAGTGAACAACAACTCTGAGATGCAGGTACATCCAGTTGGCGAGTCCCAAAGAGGACGAGACACGCGTCCAGGATTCCACTGCTAGCCACTATCCACCATTGCTTACAATTAGTTCTACAATGGTTGAAAATCTTATCTTTGAATATTCAATCAACTGTAATCACTCAACTAATCTATATGCTGAAATGTATGTTTGATTAGAGAATTTGGCTAAATCTACTTAGGTATTTCCATATCTGAATTGTTAAAACCATAGAAGCTTTTTAATTATCCATGAGATAGTGCCTGAACTTCCTGTATATAAAAAGTATATCTTATCTTTGTATTTAACATGATTTAGGCTTACCTATTTTTATTATTATTATTATTATTATTATTATTATTATTATTATTATTAATATTAGTAGTAGTAGTAGTAGTAGTAGTAGTAGTAGTAGTAGTAGTAGTAGTAGTAGTAGTGGTAGGAGTAGTAGTAGTATTTGAATCTCCATCTCGCTGTGAATATTTCTCATATTCCCTTGATTGTTGTGTGATTAGACATGTATCTGTAAATTTGTAATTCACAATATTTAATATGTGTTTGATATTTAGCACTTTCCTGCTCCGTTAGTTAGTGAACTATATATGTAACAGTATAATTTTCATTGCAGATTTGATTTCAAATACTAATCTGTAGTTTATTGGCTCGTTCCATCCACTAAGTTGGGGTACGCTACAATAGCGTGTTCACAAATGATATAAGTTAGTAGGTTTAGACGATTAGAATGAAGTCTCTAATGAAAATTACAGTCTTATATGAAGTATTGATAAGCTAAATGAACAGGAAAGTAGTCGGAAATGCTAGATATGGCACTTTTATTGAACACTTTTAGAGGAAGGTTATCCTCACACATTTTCACCTATATATATAATACAGAGTCCTCAATTTCAAGGAAAGTATGTTGGTTAAAAAAAATCGGGGATATAATAATTTATTTGGTTTCTTTCAATGACCATATATTTTCGTTTTGTTAACTTTCATTTTCAAAATTGCGACTCATCGTCTCTGACATTATCATCAATGCAGTTTGTTGGTATTTAGAATTAAACTGAGGTGAAATTCATCACAGTTGCCTTTTTTTATCGCTGTGATATCAACTAAGGAAATCGTGTAAATCCATGAAGCATTGATCGGTTACATTTGATCCAGTTTTCCCATTCTATGTACGTATAGATTCTGAATCAGTAATGTGATCAAATCAAGAACTTATATTCTATCATTTTACACTATGAATAAGCAACATATTGAAAACTGATAGTTTTAATTGTTCAATAATGTTTGTTTATGTGAAATGAAATAATCATGTTCAAGGTTATTTTGCTTTATAGCACAGTAATTATATCCCAACACATTAATTTGTAAGTATTGAACGTGAAAATGATAAATCTTAAGTACCAAAAGAATTTGGATTGACAAATGTGATCAGTTAAGATGAAGTACTTAGTTAGTATTTTATTGTCACTTTTACTACTGTTCGAGTTTCCGTAAATTTTATTTTTGAATTTCCTTAAGTAAATAGTCATTACTAACTGAATTTTTTCGTTAACGTTTACTGACATGTTGTATAAACACCTTCTGGAAGGAATTATGTAATATTCATATGCATGAAGTGTTCAATAGATAAACTACAAAGGTTTTTAATCATGTATATAACTAAACATACGACCAATTGCATTGTATAGCGTATAGCTAGTTAGTGGTACCAACTACTTGGAGGTCCTCAGATGTTTGAAGGATCATGTATGATCAAATGTATGGTGTTGATGGGTCCTTGCTACATAACGACAAATATGCTGCTCATACACTAGTGATCAGCACCCTCCAGCCAAATTAAATTTAGAGTTCTGAAACTTAGTTTTCTCGTGAAATGAAAAGGTAGGGAGACGTTAAAATGATGTTAGGAGAATAGATTCTCCAACGATATGGAATCTGAACGGCTTGACCTCTAAGAACTGTCAGTCATTTATCGAACAACAGAAATGAAGAAGAAGTAGGTAAATTTCTACGAATGCGGTGTATTGTGAAGAGGATAAGACGTGTTTTTGTAAAATTATGTTCTAATGAAATCAGCGTATTTATTGGACTGCTTACGTGGCGACTTAATATGAGTACAAAAATAAGGAATAATTATCATCACACTCACATCACTGATCGTTTTACAGCTTCCAAATCTGGATCACTTATCCATAAACAAACAGATGGTATTTTCACTATACCATTATTTGTTTGCACTGTCCAAAAGTGTTGATCATCTTTATTCGAAATAACGCGTACTTCTTCACCTTCTTTTAATTCATAATTTGGTCCTGTCAATGAAGTTAACATACGAGCCATAACTGGACTAGCGGATTCTGTATTAGTACTCAGACCATCAATAACACCACCTAGTCTTAAGTGAACAGGGACAATACGTCGGCTTTCTTCAAGCAAATTGCCTGATCGACCCCATAAATGAATCATATGATTAAGATGTTCCTAATAATAGCAAAAATAATAACAATAAAATTAATAAATTCTTAAAGTTAAAGAAAATCATTGTCTTGAGTGTTTATGCATGTTTTCGGTAAAAAATGTATACAATGAATGGTAAGTTCAAATGAGCTATATGTTACAAGTGAATGAATTTATTCGATTTCCATTATTGAGATGTAATTTAAAGAACATCTTCAATGCAAGCTTTCCATAGTCTAGCACTCATTAATAAAATATATATATCTTTAGGCGTCTTGTTTTAGGATCATTGGTGAGGCGATAATTTATAGACAACCTTTGAGCAACAGTAAATTGACTTTGAGAATGCTCACCTACTAACTAGTTCTGAATTGGGATCACAAACCAGTATGAGGAATCAGAATCATGATTTACAGTTGATGGTTAATGTTAGGAATCAGATATACGGTTTTTATCACTCACTGACATCAGCTAAAATGCCAGAACGCTATCTAGCCAAATGGATGAATGAATTTCGCGCCATAATCCAATACCTGTTATCCTAAATCTAATTAGTTCGTCCATAAATTAGTCTCGCCGTGTTAATATCATCAAACTTATTTTTCAATAACTTTGGTTTTGTATGTATGAGTACACATTCCGTGTATTTTCGATGGTTTGGCTTTGCCTTATCTACTGTTTGTTGAACTTATTCTTAACTAGGTCCTTTTGGTCCTTAAAGATGTAATGGTACTGACCAATCATTTTTGGTATATCAGACTCTTTTTTGTCGTATATTAAAGCCTCTCTATTGAAGAAAAATGTATGTTCACGTGATTGACAATTCCGAAATTGTGAATGTGTAGTTATGAATGTTATTATATTACCACTTTTGTTTACGGTATCTATTGTTACTGAATACCTTTCACTGTTGACATGTATTATAACCTGTTAGTTATCTCATAAGAAATTAGCTTCCGTTTCTATTGAGACGTTTTATAAATACTGATTTAACTTGTCAATAGTTTTCTTCATAAACTAAAATCAGCTAAGGTACCCGCTTACAAGGGAAGAAGGTTTTAAGTGCATATTGTAGAACGGACAAGTAATAGGCCAAACCAATTGCCCAGTATCTTTTGATTCTAGCTAGTTGTATTACTAAATTCAGTTCATGATGTAAATTATATTCAAAACACTAGTCAGCATGATGTAGTTTGATAAAGTTAAGCAGCAGATAGCAGGAAAATTCAGTTCTAAATAGGATTAAATATGCGTTTTAGATTCCACTGCTAATCATTATCCAACTTGACTAAAAACTTTTGATTGATTAGAAATATCAAGTGTTGAGATCATGAGTCAGTTGGAGCTAGACCACCATGAAAAACCTGGGAGCACTGGATGGCCGACTGATCCTATTGTGGGCATCCTCAACAATGCGCCCCCACGACCCCAGCTCGCGGGATTCGAACCCAGGATCTACTGGTCTCGCACTCGAGCACTTAACAACTAGACCACTGAGCCAGTATCCAACGGTGTTAATATCTAACTGCAACTAATCCACGAAGTTGCGCCACTATATGCCATTGTCTTCAGTGAGTTACTATCTCACAACTGACACGGTTGAACACCACTGGTCACTGTTTCTCACTAGAACTTCAGGAAATACCTCTTGAAGCCAGTCACTAGTGAGCATATGTTGATTAGTATCCCGTGAGGTGAGGTCATGAATGTGCACCTCTGAGGAGTCCCACAATAGGACGAAGCAGTCGTCCAGTTCTTCCAGGTTTTCCATGGTGGTCTAGCTTCAATTGACTCATGATCCCAACTATTGAAATTACTAAAATCCCTACAAAATCTTCGTTCGATATGAATAGAAATATTGAAGCTATTCATCCAGGATTTATATGTGCCAACAGAGACTGACTAGTTGGTCTTTAACAACAACAACAATGGGAAAGTACAAACATTATCAGTAGTATTATATATTCGTAAAGCGTTATATTCTTTGTAATAATAACAATAATAACTCCAATACACATTTATCTAAATCATTCATATAATCATCTTATATCATTAGTCTCTTCTTAGAAAAATAGTGTTGTTCCCAACATTCTCTTAAACATTCTAATCTCATACATATTTTAATTATATAACAGCAGGGATTATGATTATTATTATTATTACTATTATTACTCCTACGACTAATTCCTTTAACAAAAAAATGCACATTCCATTATTTCTTAACATTCCAATTACAAGTAATGATTCATACTATTTTTTAAAGAGAAACTATTTCAGTAGAAGTCATGAGCTAAACAAATCAATCTAAACTATGAATTACTACTTTCGAAAAAAAACGCAAAAAAAACGGTTTCAAATGTCAAAATTTTGTCGTCAAGCTTATTACAATTTTTGTTGCCAATGTTCCTTTCATTTCTCAGTAATTAAAAAAATTTTAAAAAAGAAGGAGCAAACAATAATGCTCCACCATATTAATCATGAAAAATGACACACACACACACATGTTCAAGTTTTGTCGTAATTGCTGAGATTCGTTTCTTTCCAAATAATAATAATAATAATGATCCAACTTCAACGTTAGAAAGTAAATTCGTAGCTTTCAATTATTTAATGGTCTAATCGATGCAGTGAAGCTTAAAGATAAATTGAATCGATGTAAGGAGTTAAGATCACCATCTATATTTCAGTGTTTGTTTTGAAGTAACCAGATAGAATAATTTGGTTTTGCATTAAAGGATACAATTCATAAGTTGGATGTATATACTATGACTTTGTTAGCAAGTTATAATCGTTTAAATCAGGATATGATCTATAATCTACCGTGTAAACATTTAATTATTTACTTTATGGTGTAATGCTTGTGATTTAAGACAATATAGAGATAATCTGTACACGATGTACATATGCCAATAAGAGACAGTCCTAAAAATCAATGTGAAGATTCAAATAAACAATACAAAATGAATTGACACTTCGCCCCATTCCACAAGCTAGTGGCTATCAGGACTAAGTAGCTAAGTGGATGGCGTTTGAAGTGAACGGTACTGGGTTGGAGTCTAGGAGTGGATATCAACTCTGGAATGCAGGTCCCACATAGGACGAAACGCGCATCCTATATTCGACTGCTAAATTGTTTAATTTAATTGTATCATAAGTTGGTTTATCTAAATAAATATTAAATATTGTTTTAGTCAAAATTAATCTCATAGTATTATATAAACTGTATTGAATATAACTACAAAAAGAAGTTGATTGCTTACTCTCAATTCATTGGCCAAAATTGTACAATTTTTCAAAGTTGCAGGTAATGCTCTTGAATTTCTCGGTTCTGTCATCCGTACACGTGCTTTCAAACTGGCTTCAGCTTCATTAACTGCATGATGAAACTGTAGTGAAATATAAAATAAATTGATGATGGTATTAGAAAATTCGCTTTATTAGGATTTGATTAATGAATTTATGTCAGAATTGAGTATCTGTAGTAATTGACAACATTTCTCTCACGACCCTGATATGAAATCAAACTTACTATCTTCACAATTCGTTGTTTTGAAGCTATCACCCAACAGTTCTGAGGGTTCTTTCGTTTTGATCTTATGCCAAATAGTAACTCAGTACTACTGAGTAGTTCTCCCGGTAAAAAAATAACATCAATCTTTAAAAATACTGCAGCCCGATGTCACTTTATTATGAAAATCACATATTCAGAATGATTAAATTAACCCAAACAAATTATGAGTATTAAATTTGACTTATTAGCATAGAAATGCGAATACTATCTACTCTTAAATGGTGCTTGGAGGTAGTCAACACGAAACCCAGCACCCGGGTTTCATGCTACTTGACACTTGTCATCATGGTGTGCTTGTAATCTTGAGGGAACTGGTGATCCCTTACGGATTCGATCCCAAGTCACCCAGCTCCACAATCAGGGACGTTACCACTGGGCTCCCCGGGCCGCGACCGACCTCCTGTAGGACTGAGATGTGATCAAAATTGGTTGATCACTGGGTGGTGATCAATGTCAGGTGTGTCAAGTCCTTCTTAGTGCAGATCGAATGCCATCGATCAAGTTGCAATGTGGCCACTAATCTAGGTGACTCTACAACTTGGTCGATAACATTCGATCTACACTGAGAAGGAATTGACATACATGACACTGATCACCACCCAGTGATCAATCAGTTGTGACTATCTACTCTTATTGATATCATGAACCGAAGTTGGTCAACCATTAAAAATCTGGAAACACTGGGGTTCAAATATAGCGAATGTGGGGGATTTACCTATCGAAGACAACTGAGAATGGTCGCACAATATCTTCAGTCAGTTGTGTTAAGGAGATCAAAAGTACTCCTCGAAAAAGTTTAGACGGGCCATGAAAACTCTGGGAAACATTTTATTCAATCAGCGTTGAATAGAAGTATCTTAGAAACCTCTAGCAAATGAAGAGTCACATGTTTAATTAGATAATTGCCTATCCTGCTACTATGCTTATTATGGTCCCAGAACCTTTCAAAAGACCAAGACCATCTGAAATATTATAAATACCCTCTAATTTCTGTACATAGACCAACCTTGGAATAAAATGTTTGTTTCACACTTCACACCTATTCTCTAGTGTTCAAGTTGTCGTATAGACTTAACTTGAGGTTGTTAGAAGACCATAGGAAACTGAATCAAGCATTTGGTTAGAAAACTTATCAGATTAAATTTAGGGATGTAAATTACCGTATACCAGGTCGGTAGTCTAGAGATTAAACATTCACACGAAAGACCAAAGTATCTGGTTTCGATTCCTGGTTCCATAGTCATGGAAGTTCACTGCTGAAAATTTTCATACTAGAACAAAATGGCAATCTAGTATTTGCCAATATTCAATAGTTGTTTCTACAGATTTATGTCTATCATATTTAACTTATAAATATATTATATTTACTGTAACTCTGGTTATATTTTATATAATAATATCACATTTTTTCACGATATCAGAATCATTAAAAAAGTGACATTCTTTTACTTTTTTTAAACTAACAATGCACATATTATTCTATTGTTAACCTTAGAATATTTAAACCTTGGGTCAAATGACCGGCAGAATTTCTGTAATTTATTGATACACAACAAATAACAACATTTTCATGATAATAATATCTGTGTAAATCATTAGAATGAATTCCTTGGAGTAATTATCAACCCCTACAGAATAGTAAATAAGTTAAGTTGAACTATTAAAGTTGTAATTTTTAAGAAGATAAGAAAATAATCATACTTGAATGACAGTACACCACAGAATGATACCATCTTCATATGTTACTTTAAGTTAAGATTATTTATATGAAATAATAATAACCGTAATTAGCAAGAAGTTTAAATTATTTATTCTGGTTAGCGTTTTTTAGAAAGGTTGTTTTCTACGGAATTAGGTTGCTGACTCCATCCCTAAGGTTCCTACTTTACTCGGGCTTGGGACCGATAGTAATTCTAGAAAAGCTATAGGCTATATAGGACTCACTAGGTCACAACACGTAGGACCAGATCATATTTGTATCACTAAAAAATTCCGAAGGACAATGGAAAATGTGAGAACCAGGAGAGGAGCTGATATAGCTTCAGATCACTACCTAGTTGTGGCCAATTTAAAACTGAAGCTAAAGTAACACTGAACAACAGGGGAAACAGTAGCACAAAAGTTCAATATAGCATTCCTTCGAGATACTAACAAACTCAACCAATTCAAGATAACTCTCAACAATAGGTTTCAAGCCTTACAAGATCTACTGAAGGAAGAAGACAATTCCATGGAGGACAACTGGAAAGGGATCAGAAAAGCATTAACTACAACGTGTCAAGAGGTTCTGTGCCTCAAGAAGCATCATCATAAGGAATGGATCTCTATAGAAACACTGGACAAGATCAAGGAAAGGAAAAACAAGAAAACAACAATTAACAACAACCGAACACGAACAGAAAAAGTCCAAGCACAAGCTGAATACATAGAAGCAAACAAGCAAGTGAAGAAAAGCATTTGAGCCGACAAGCAGAAATACGTGGAAGTACTAGCAACGAAAGCAGAAAAAGCTGCAAGAGAAGAAAATATGAAACAGCTTTACGATACAACGGAGAAACAAGCAGGAAGACATAGTAAACCAGAGAGACCGTTCAAGGACAAAGAAGACAAGCTAATCACTGAGATTTAAGAACAGCGGAACAGATGGGTAGAGTACTTTGAGGAACTCTTGAATAGGCCGGCTCCAATGAATCCACTGTACAGAGAAACATCAAACACAGACCTTCCTACAGATGTCAGTCCGCCAACAACCGCAGAAATCAGAACGGCCATCAGACAAATCACGAGTGGGGAAGCATTGGGATCTGACAATATACCAGCCGAAGTACTGAAGTCAGACATAAAAGTAACTGTAAAGATATTCCATGTTCCACTCAGGAAGATTTAAGAGGAAGAACAAGTGCCGATGGACTAGAAAGAAGGATACCTCATCAACATACCAACAAAAGGAGATCTGAATAAATGTGAGAACTACAGAAGTATCATACTACAAACAGTACCAGGAACATTTTGAATAGTGTTGCTGAATTGGATAAATGATTCAGTAGACGCCCAGCTATTACATTACGAGGCAAGTGTTAACTTGGAATGCTGAAGTGACACAGAAAAAAGGAAAATCAAAGAATAGATTGCGTCGGAAATCGGAAGCAGACGTCACAAAAATGAATAGTGACTGAAAAGAACTGGAAAGGATTGTTAAGGACAGAGTTGGTTAAAGAATGCTGGTGGGCGGTCTATGCTTCTCAACGAGGGTTAACAGGTGTAAGTATTTAAGTAAGTAATTTTTAAGCAAGTATATATATATCAATTTAACGAATTCCATAGATTAAATCCCAATGAAAACATATGACTAATTGACTATACGTTGTGGCGAATTTTGTCTGACATAAAATGAGTGAGATTTCTCTACAGGTTATCCTCATAGCTCAATAATTATGTTTGTCACTGTGACACTAAGCACTATTCAGTTACCTGAAGATTTTAAATAAAAAGATTGAAAACTGACAAAAATATTTAGCGGTTTCTATCACATGTTGTTCAATAATCACTGATTGTAATTAACTAGTTCTATGGTGTTAATCTAATAATACTCAAAATGATTGGAACATTTTTATGGCATGTACCCATTATACACTGTGACCAAATGATTGTGAAATTAATACTAGTGTAAGCACAGATTAACCCAGTCAATTAACCAAGCAAAAAATTGTTCCAAAAATATCTATCAGCCATACATTATGTAAGAGTTAAGAATTCAATACCTGTATATGTAAATCTACTCTGAAGTTAGATTTAAAATCACATGACAGGCATCGCACTATTATTACAAAAATTAACTGATTGCATTATTAGTGATAATCTAGCTAATTATTAAATGTCTCTCTATCAGAGATTAAAATTCAATAATCGTACGGATTTAAACACTAAACTATGAATCTAAACAAAAGGTTTACAACCCACAACAAACCCATCGGATGATGAATAAGATCTAAGTAAACATTTAGTCTGTATGAGACTCAAGCTAATGGTTTTTAGAAGGTTATTTTGTGAAAAAAAGAGTGATATTGTTCGCCGAAGTTATTTCAGCTTAGTTTTTACTGGAAACGAATTTTGTTTGAACAATTATTAAAGCCAAAGTGGCGCCCGACAGCGATTTTGTTTTATTATAACAAGCCTTAATAATACACGGCTATAATCTATCCAAAGACAAAACCCAGGAACTGTAAGTCTTCTCGAGAGCACGCTATTTTTAGACCACTGGGTTGTCACCTGATGATTCTTACTTCCAATGTCAGTCACTTCATGAAGCTCGAAATAGCTGGGTTCGGCCCTTGATATAACTGTAAGTGAGCACTACTAAGGAGTTCCACATTTGAATGAATCAACTACTCAGTGATTTCTGGTTTTTAAATAGTCTTCCACTTAAAATCGGTCGATTATATTAAATACAACGAGTGGGAACTTCCTATAAACCTTATTTGTTAAAAATTTATTTCATTTTTGGTCGTCGTCTTTTTTCTGTGATCAGGGTGTCCAAAGATTTTATGTAGAACGTTCGGTTACTTGTAAATAGATAAAAAAAGTTAAGAAAATATTTTGTCAGAAATCTTTCTCAAGAGTTACTCAACTAACTGTATTTAGGAGAAATCGGTCACTTTTATGGATACAGAAAGAGTGATTAAAATCAAATTTGTTCTCTATGCACAATACCTTTCAATTTATATCAGTATAATTTAATATTAATTAAGAAAAGATTCAGTAAACAAATGATGATATTCGGAAATAAAAGACAGAATAGTCTAGAAAGAATACGTTTTTACAAATGACATTGTATTCACATACATCAAGGATTATTAGTGTGCACTCAAGCAATGGAGAAATTATTTTCAAGATCACAAAGGACATTTAAATTTTATAATCCTTGAGGTTTTCGCCAATCTCCCAATGTTTTTTTTACTGTTCCTATATAAGAACTTGAAAGTTGTTTTCAAATGAGCTTCATGACCTATTTGAAAGTATTTGCTTGACATTAGAAAAGCATAATTTCTAATCTTATGCATTTCCTTGAAGCTATGGTTCTGATTTTAAAGCCATTTTTCATATGTTATTCTAATCACGATTGTTTGTTTACATATGTATGTCAAGTATTACCCATGTGATTTGAGTGGAGTGATAAGACTGACTGTCTCGGTAAAGACAAAGTAGTCTGTATGATAAGTTTTTTCTACTGTTGTTTTCAGAATAGTACTCGAAGTTATATTTGGAATGTAATGTTATTGAATCGTACACCGTTCACAAACCTACCATATATGAACTAATGTGGACTTGATGAGCTCTTGATACGTTTCTTACTGGTACTTTATCTGTGATATTTAGTAGGCTCATCTATTCTCCTCTTTTTACTGAGATTCTTTTATTTATCCCTTACCTAGATCACTATGCAATAAAGAAAGATAAATGTACAGGTCTATATATTATGATTCATAATTATAGTATATTGCTAAGTATTAACTAATATCAAGTATTCTTATGATGATTCTCACTAAACTGAATATCACCCATTGACATATATAAGTTATCTCCAACAGTAAGTGAATAGAACCAGACACTCTAAACTCAATTTTACTAAACCGCACAAATTGAAGAATTTGTGTAATTCATCGAGTCACTGTATTCTGATTAGAACTATCTTAAAAATTACCATCTCTAATCTACTAGAACTTAGAAATGACAATCTTAGTATTTCAGACACCAGATCAGAGTTATTGATTGAATATATTCATTAAGATTATGCGCGGTACAATAACTCCAAGGTTACATACTCTTACCATGACCCGAAGGACCGGTTGTTGGCACAAAAATATATTGAATCTTTTGAAATGGTGAAAGGTTTCAAATAAAAATTAAGAAGAGATAGACTGTTTTTTTATATTTCTACTTAGTATTCCGCTTATTTTTTTATTTTATTAAGACTTTCTTCTAAAACTTTATCGTTGAGGCCAAGATAAAAAAAGAAATCATAGAATTTATGTATTCTTAACTCAGGAATTTTATGAGAATGCTAATTAGATTTATGAAATAACTAAACCTTAATTATAATTCAAGCCCAACGCGTAGCACCGGAAATTCCTTTCTACTATTTTAAACTAAATAACAACCAAAAATACATTTCTGTATCAATTTATTTACACTATTGTCTAGATTTCAAACTGATCTGTTGAACTATGTTACTACTGATATTTGGATTCTATAATATAGAATAATATTTTATGATCAGTTAAAGATAAGGTCTTGGTTCTGATAGAACTCTGGACAAGATCAAAGAAAGGAAGAACAAGAAGGCAGCAATTAACAACAGCCGAACACGAGCAGAGAAAGTTCAAGCACAAGCAAGTGAAGAAGAGCATTAGAGCCAACAAGAAGAAGTACGTAGAAGAACTAGCAAAGACGGCGGAAAAGGCTGCAATAGAAGGAAATATGAAACAGCTTTACGATACAACGAAGAAACTAGCAGGGAAATATAGTAAACCAGAGAGACCGGTAAAAGACAAAGAAAGCAGGCCAATCACTGAAATTCAACAACAGCGGAACAGATGGGTAGAGTGCTTCTAGGAACTCCTGAATAGGCCGTTTCCAAAGAATCCACCGGACATCGAAGCAGCACACACAGATCTTCCTATAGGTGTCGAACCACCAACGAAGGAAGAAATCAGAATGGCCATCAGACAAATCAAGTGTGGGAAAGCAGGAGGACCCGACAACATACCAGCTGAAGCACTGAAGACAGACAACGAAGTAACCACAAACATGCTTCGCCTTCTATTCAAAAAGATTTGGGAGGAGAAACAAGTGCCGATGAACTGCAAAGAAGGACACCTCATTAAGATTCTAAAGAAAGGAGATCTGAGCAAATGTGAAAACTACAGAGGCATTACACTACTGTCAACACCAGGGAAAGTTTTTAACAGAGTGTCGCTGAACCGGATGAAAGACTCAGTAGACGCCCAACTTCGAGATCAACAGGGTGAATTCCGTAAAGATCGGTCGTGCACAGACCAAATTGCGACACTACGGATAATCGTCAAACAATCAATTGAGTGGAACTCAACACTGTACATCAACTTCATTGATTATGAAAAGGCATTTGACAGTGTAGATAGAAAGACGTTATGGAAACTTCTTCGACACTACGGAGTTCCTGAGAAGATTATCAATATTATCTGTAACTCATACGACGGACTACAGTGCAAAGTCGTGCATGGAGGACAGCTGACAGATGCATTCCAAGTAAGGACCGGAGTCAGACAAGGCTGTTCACTCTCTCCCTTCCATTTTTTTCTGGTGGTCGACTGGATTATGAAGACCTCGACATCTGAAGGAAAACATGGAATACAATGGACAGCTCAGAATCAATTAGACGATTTGGACTTCGCAGATGACCTAGCCCTCCTATCACGTACACACGAACAGATGCAGATGAAGACAGCCAGTGTAGCAGCAGTCTCTGCATCAGTAGGCCTCAGCATACACAAAGGGAAAACGAAGGTCCTCAAATTCAAAGCGGAGAACAGCAATCATGAGTCAATTAAAGCTAGACCACCATGGAAAACCTGGGAGCACTGGACGGCCGTTTCGTCTCATTGCAGGACTCTTCAGCAGTGCGCATCCACGATCCCACCCCTCGAGATTTGAACCCGTTTCGAAACTGACAGGTTCTGGGTTCGAATCTCGCGGAGTGTGGGATCGTGGATGCGCACTGCTGAGAAGTCCTGCAATGAGATGAAACGGCCGTCCAGTGCTCACAGGTTTTCCATGGTGGTCTAGCTTCAATTGACCCATGATTTCAATCTGTGATATTACCAATTATTTAAACTCTAATTATAATATTCATTTTAATCCATTACCTTAGATTTCAATCAATTATATTGTAACCTATATCTTTGAATAAATATTGTTCCTTATTCTAAATTCAAATATAATTCTAAATAAATAAATAAATAAACCTGAGTTAATCGATAAATAGAAACTGATTTTATCGATAAAACACAACTGACCAGTATATATAAATATGACCTGGTATACTAGTTTTAACAATCAATTAAACAAAACAATGGAATATACACCAAGAAATATTAAGTTTTATTGTTTGTTTTTCTATACTTATGCGCAAAGATAATAATAATAATAATAATAATAATAATAATATCAAACAATAGATGAACAACATATACTTTATAGTTGACTTAAACCTGTACAACTGAATCGATTGATCAAAGTTGTTTCATTATTCTATTACGAATAATAACAATACTAATCATTAATTGATTGATTTATTATTATCAATGAAATTGGAGGTAATTTGTGATTGTATACTTTTTGAAGTATAATTCATTGTAGGAAAGAGAGAGAATGTACAGAATGAGTTACTAGTACAATGTCCTAAATTATGTTATCTATCAATATACAAGATAATTATACTCAAAATAAAAATGCGTAATATCATTGATAATATTCTCTATTATTAATCAGTTGAATAAAAGTGTCAACAGTTATTATTGTTATTATTATTGAATTATTTAGTGCAAATAGTTGGCAATATTAATAAATGACACTATGTATCATATGCTCAAAATTAGTTATTAATCATTTATCTCAGTATTATTTCCAATTAACTTATGAATTTTAACGGTATGTATCAGAGGGGGTTTTGTGAAGATTGTAGTAAGTTCAACAGTTGTTACCATGATTCAATTAAAGCTAGACCACCATGAAAAACCTGGAAGCACTCGACGGCCGTTTCATCCTATTGTGGGACTCCTCAGCAATGCACATCCATGACCCCTCCACGCGGGATCCGAACTCAGGATCTATCGGTCTCGCGATAGGCGCTTAACCAACTAGACCACTGAGCCAGTATCCAATGGTGTTAATGTCTAATTTCAACTAATTTCCATTGGCCATTAGCTGGAGATTATCAACAACAACCTACTATGGGAGAGAGCAAATCAACTTTCAGCTAAAGAGGAAATTAAGAAAAGACGTTGAAAGTGAATAGGACACATATTACGGAAATCATCAAACTGCATCACGAAGCGCGCACTAACTTGAAATCGTGAGGGAAAACAAAAAAAGCGGAAGACCAAAGAACATACTGCATCGGGAATCGGAATCAGACATGACAAGGATGAATAGCAACTATGAAGAATTGGAAAGTATTGTTGAGGATAGAGTTGGATGGAGAATGTTGGTGAATGGCTTATGCTGCTCTACAAAAGGTAACAGGCGTAAGTGAGTAAATTTCCATAGGAAACATTTTGAATGAAATTTTTTTCAGAAAATAGAAAATTTGATAGTTAATAGTGAAAATCGTTAACAGGTACATTAAAGTTCATTGTTACTTAAGTAAAATATAATGTATCGATCGATTTATACAAATTAATTTTTGATACTTATGATATAACTCTGAGCTGCTTACTGCTGTGTAAAATTAATCATTGAGTGAATGTGTAATAAATACCGTAAGCTTAAAGGATTAAATAAATCGTCTATCAAAGTTACTTATTTACATGATATAACTACGAATTCTTCGTTTTATTATTTTCTTTACAAAAGTAAACATTCTTTTTACAATTTTATGTTTACTTACCTGATGATATTCAGCAGCATTCCTAATATGTACTTGACTTAATCGGGCCAATTGAGAAACATATGTCCAACAACTTTTCACATTACTAGTTAATTCCTGTTTAATTTATGTGAAGAAAAAAAATCAACGGAAAATTTAGTCAATGAATTGAATTTGTCAAATTAATTTAAAGGTTGAACTATGATGAATATGAAATAATCAGACATAAATGGCAGTGAAATATGGTAGACCAATATCGCGAATTGATCGATGTTAGAAATATCAATTATTGGATTGTGATTTAGCGGTTTAAATGTGTCCCGATGGGGATGAATAATATTGGGCAATTTCATACAGAGAAAGAGCATTTATCCAGTATCTCTTGGATTTAGATGGTTGTGGAGCTACAATCAGTCCGTAATGTAAATTTTGAAACTCAACAATCTTCATAAACCTTTCATGATAACTCCAGTAGATTATATTAAAGTATATATGCATGATTTCATCCTTTGACTTTTAATCCGCGTATGTCATTGATCTAATTCAAGAATAAATTCACATTCCACATACCAATTCAGTTAGTAAGTCGCATACAGCTTACGGCCTGGAATGTATATATCCAGTTGTCTAAATAGCCATACTTAACGCACAAAAACTAACTAAGTCAAAATCAGAGAAACTGAAAAGAATTTGTTATTATATGAATGATTGTAAAGAAGTAAACCTACGAAATGTAGACCAGAAAGAGAAAAATTACGAAAATTCGATACCTAGAAGGCTATAGAGACTGCGTACATTAATATCATTCAAACAGATCAGTCAACCATAGATGATAATTATCTCATTGATAACGAACAGAAACTTTATACTTTTCTTTATGGGTCAAATAAATACTGATTTCATGAACTAATGCTGAACCAGTGACTACCTCCAACGATCAAAATAGTGTATATGATATAGAGTTATCTAGACTAATGGTTGTATTATAACTTGATCGATAGAATTCAGCCACCATTAAAGGATTAGACGAAGATAATATTGATCAGTACTAAATCAATAAGCCTATACCATTTATCGGTCTGAGTATCCAGAGCCTTCTTACAAAGTACATGTATTCTAGCCAGTGCTGGACAGTGCATGGGTTTGAGTAACTCAATAACCCTACTCCGTGAAAGTTTACAGCAAATAATTACATATATATAATTATTCTGACCAAAAAATGCTCATGAATAGCTTCAAAACTACTCACTCACTGATTACATCATACACGAGTAATGCTTTCAAAACTTATATTATCAAGTACTTTCAGCCTATGCATATCATCCAACTTAAAGGCAATATTTCACAGCTATAAATCAATCCCGAGAGAACATATGGATAGTATACTTGCCGTTTAATAGACGAACAAACATTTCTCCTGTATAATCGATTCAGATGATCTTAAACAACAGTGTCTTTGCTATCAGTTAATGATTTTATATGAAATATCCTTTGGTTATAACGAAAATATGAGACAGTTATGATTAACTGCATACTAAGCGTCCACTATTAAAATTAACAATGTTACTTCGCCATTAAAACCAGTTCTACTGTTTCATGAAATAAGAGAATCTTGATTTGTATTACAATATAAACCTTGTGTATTTTTCCTCTAATAAAACAGGAAGTGTCTGGTAAAACGTGATTTAGATTAACAAAATGTCTAATCAATTATTTACACTTTGTTTTGTTATTCAGTATAGATACGCATATTATGACGCACTTTAAAACGTATTTCTACAAGTAACATTTTTATTGTTTGTGCCTGTAATTAATTGTAAAGAAAATGTAAATGATTTACACTCCCACCCCCCTTAATTAAAATGAATAGCAGTGAGTTTTTTGCTGCTCATTTTTCTCATATACTTCATTGGTTTCCTTGCGAGTAATTCCCTAAATAGAGTGAAACATGTGTTTTGGATTCCGCTACAAGCTACTATCTAAATTTTTATGGATGTGGATGTATTTCAATATCGAAGCTCAGTATGAACATATACGATGAAGCGGTTGATCAGCTGAAGTCCTTAGCATTAACAGTAGTAAAATAAAGGTTCCTCATATATAATGAATTAATAAAAGCGAGTACTACAGAAATAATTAACTAAGATTAGCTTATTGTTCTGCCAACTAAAGTTCAATGTTCAACTTAGAAAAGAGTTTTACAATAAAGAATTATTGGTAGATTCTGTTCCGTAAGTTTAAAGATTATTTAATAATTTTTTCAAAGTAAATAAATCAAGTTCATTAATTCAACTTGGTACTATCAAATGTAAATAGAATTTTAATTCAGTTTAATGGTTTTAGTATTGCATAGATACATATGAGAACGTCAATTAATGAAGTGAAACATTTTGAACAAATGAATTTACATGATTTTATTAAAAATTTGCAACCATTTAAATGTTCAGTATAAAAAGTTTTTGAAGATCATTTAACCATGTAGTCTATATTGTGGGATGACTATTGAAAATCAAGAATCAATGGATAAAAATTTCGTCCTATTATTAGCCTACTTAACAGTGTACATCTATAATCCTACCAACAAAGGTTAAGTTTAGAACTTTTAGTTCTCTTAAGGAGCCTTTAGATTTTAGGTTATCGAGTTGGTAACCAACTGTTTACATTTTAAACTTTAAACAATCTGCAATATTGACATTATTGAATGTTATTGGTGTCTAACTACCTCATATCCGACGTGGCTAAACTCCATTGGTTACAACTTCTCATTTGAACTCTGAGAATCATCTCTTAAATTTAGTCATCAGTGAGTACTTAATTTAAATTTCAATCTCAACCTTGAACAAACTATTTCAATTTCGACATTTGGATTATGTCATCAAATCTCTTACTCCTAAAGTGTCATTCAAATCCAAGTACACATATTTGTACTTGATAATTAGATTTGAATTATTGATTGAAATTATAATGATGTAAATTATAGTTTAGCTTTTTATTCTTAAATAATTTATCAAATTAAGTTCAAGTGTTAAACTTATTCATTATTAGTACTTAAACGTTATTCTGACAAGTACACAATTATATCATTATACTAGTTATTAATATCAGAATAAATAACTTATGATTAATTTTTCATGAACCTTTTCTTCTAGAAATATAGTCAACATTATAATGCTGACATTATTTTCGAAAATCATTTAAAGCTATGTGACTTGCCAGCTGAAGAGGAAATTAGGAAAAGATGATGGAAATGGATAAGACATACATCACGAGGCAAGCCCTAACTTGAAATTTTAAAGGGAAGCGGGAAACAGGAAGATCGTAGAACACATTAAGTCGGGAAATAAAAACAGATATGAAAAGGATGAATAAAAACTGGAGAGAGCTGGAGAGGATTGCCCAGGACAGGGTTGGATGAAGAATACTGATGAACGGCCTATGCTCCTTCACGAGGAGTAACAGGCATAAGTAAGTAAGTAACACTTGCCAAAAACTACTTTTATTATAGTAATAATAGTGATGGTATACACAATAAATTAACTACATGATCTTTATTTTTTATTTAAATTAAATTTTGTTTAAAATAAAAAAATATAAAAAAATCAATGGCGAATATTTCATTGTCATGTTAACTGAAATCTTTACTTTAAAATTGATTTTTTTTTCTCCATTTAAAGGGAAAAAAAGGGGGGAAGGGGAAAACTAACTTTTTTCACATGAACTTCATCTTTTAATTCTTTAGGAGCACTTAATTGTACAGAGGTTTCAGTGACATTTTCTGTTAGAACCTAAATAAAAATTATTGATTAAATGATGATATTTATTTATAGCTTACTGTAAATGAATTCTCCAATTGTGATATTGTTTCTAAATAACGTAATGCTGATGTATTATTTTTCACATCATCCTTGAAATATTAAAAAAAGAAATATAAAAAAAACTTTATTATCAGGAGATAAGAACAAAATATATGGCTTAGTGATTAATTGAATTTCAACAACTATTTTATTTTAATATCAGATGGGTTTTGTGGATATTATAGTAATTTCAATGGTTAAGATCATGAATCAGTTGAAGCTAGACCATCATGGAAACCACGGAAGCACTGGACGACCGTTTCGTTCTATTGTGGAAGCGATGTCGTGGCTGCGCACTGTTGAGGAGTCCTATAATAGAACGAAACGGCTGTCCAGTGCTTCCGGGTTTTCCATGGTGGTTTAGCTTCAACTGACTCATGATCTTAACCATCGAATTTATTTTAAACAAATATATTTTAAACAGAGATAGATGGTGGTTAGCAGTAGAATCCAAGATGCATATTATGTCGTATTTGAGACTCGTCAGCTGGATGTACCTGCATCCTAGAGTTGGTTTTCACTTTATGACTCGAGTCAAGTTTTTTTTCTCTTCAAATGCCATCAAGTTATTCACTTAGCTACTGAGTTCAGATAGCCACTACCTTATGCAATAAATATATTTTATTAGTTATGATAATGACCAAGGTTATTTTCTACAAGTGGGGCTCTTATAGCTGAAGAACATATGGAAACTTAAAAAACTGTACGTCAATATCACAGTCAGAATCTTAAGTACAAACTTCAGAACAGTTCTACTGCATGGAGCTGAAACTTAGAGAACTATCACAACCATTATCAAAATGGTACAATTATTTATAAACCACTGTCTATGCAAAATATTTAATGTCTGTTGACTGGATATCATCAATAACAACCTACTGTAGGAGAGAACAAATCAACTTTCAGCTAAAGAGGAAATTAGGAAAAGACGTTGAAAGTGAATAGGACATATATTACGGAAATCATCAAACTGCATCACGAAGCGCACTAACTTGAAATCGTGAGGGAAAACAAAAAAGCGGAAGACCAAAGAACATACTGCATCGGGAATCGGAATCAGACATGACAAGAATGAATAGCAACTATGAAGAATTGGAAAGTATTGTTGAGGATGGAGTTGGATGAAGAATTTTGGTGAACAGCCTGTAATACTCTACGAGGGGTAACAGGCATAAGTAAGTAATAGTAAAGTTCAGAATGTTTGTTTCGTTTTATTTGATACTGAACTAAGCTTGATAGACATTATGATTCAGGTGCGTACATCTAGTTAGTGAGACCCATATGTAAGATGATATATACTTTGTGGATTTCATTTGAAAAAAATACTAATCTTGTAATCACGGCTAATATATTGATGTATCTGTTTATGAAGCTTACATACCAATGAGAAACTGATTGAATTCATTACTCAATCTCAACAGTGGACAAGCATAAATCATTGTGAACAAAAACATATTTCAATTTTTTGTGACAATCTGAGGTATGTAAACTTCATTTCACAGTAAACTCAGTATTTGTAATATTGGTTAATTTGCCTAATCAATATTATCTTCGTACAAACATGTTTAAATTATCTTAAACTTTACAAAGATTAACATAAATATCAGGAAAAAACAGTGTAGTGCTTACACGAATCTCAGCTGCTGCGTCAGGTAAATGTGATTTTTGTGCGCTCTAAAAAAGTAATAATCAATGGAATGAATAAATTGGTTAATGCGGACAGTGACAGAAACAAAACTACATTTGAAAACAATTTACATTGCGTACGAATTTTAGTTAGACAACCGTTGTAAAAGCATATAGCATTGGACATCTATATCTTTCTAGTAAATGGCTTCTTATCAATGTACACATTGTACGACCTTACAAGGAATTGAATCTTGGACATTCAAATAATTGAGTTGACACTCAGTGATTAGTAAGGTTCTTATAATAGGACAATTTATCTGTTCAGTTATCTTTTTATTTTATTATTATTATTATTATTATTATTATTATTATTATTAGCTTTATTCAATATTATAATTTTGGTACAATATAGAATTCTCAGCGCAAAGTATTTCAACAAGTTTCCGTTTCTTTCTTCTTGGTCGGTCCTGGCGATAAATATTGAGGAATCGCCAGTTAGATGTTAGCACTTCAGTGAATGAACAACTGAATAATGTACATTCTTTTCGTTGTACATTGCCAGCAACCATATTGTCTCTTATTGAGTTTTCTGTAACTTTGACAACGAAAGGTTGTACACTTTTCAGAAACGCAGCAGAATAGGTTATGCGATTAATATACATAATGATATATTAAAACAAACAACAATAGATAACTTGTTGAAATATCTAGATGGCAGGAACAGATAGCCCAGATGCTCAAGCAGGCCGCCCTTACTTCCAATGCTTATACAGTTAGTATTATTCCCTAATCTGTTTATCTTTCATTAACATGAATCTTTATAAATGTTACATTTTGATTAACTTACAGATTGTTGAATATCTTTTTCTAGTTGTATAATTTTTTGTAATAATTCAGCTTGTCTAACACGTTCACTGTCAAGTGCTAAATGATTTACACCTATGCACACACCACGAGCTTGACGCTAAGAAGAAAAAGAAGATCAACAAAGAATGGATAAGAAACAAAACAAAATAAGTGATGTATATATGTGTGTTGCGTGTCTAAGCATATTATTTTCATATATTTAAAATAAATTATAGTATTTTATTATTTTTGAGTAGTGATTAATGATGGAATGTAAGACATGAGTCTCATCCTATTTGGGACTTATCAACTGGAGGTAACTAGCACATCTCAGTGTTGATGTTTACACTGAGACTTGAACCCGTTATCTTTAGATTCAAATAAAAATACAAAGTTATACAAATAAGATTATGATGTGTTGTTATGTCAAATTTATAATGATGTAACTAGGTATAAAGTGAATTAACACAACTTCGATGATGCAATTTATTCTACTTACTAATTCCACATATATATATACCTACAGTTGAGCCACAGCAATCAAAACCTTTGACTCGATCTGAGAAACTTTTATACTAAGCTATCTCTTGGTCTTAATTGTTCTTCGATTTATGAAATAGATGAATGCAGTCAAAATGAAGTAAGATGTACTTTAATAGACTATTTACCTACTAATTTTAAAGTATCACAGATTATGGATTGTTTTATAGTAATAATTCAGTTACTCATCAATGATGTAATTTGATAATACGTGATCTAGTTCATAAGTATATCGGGTTTTATTTTTTCTCATGTAACTATTACAATCAATTCATTAACACCATTTTCCACATTCACTTGGTATTTTTTACTTGTATCTTCCCATTGTTGTTTATGACTGCAATTGATCAGTCTCTTGTTGGCATATATACATCCTGTGCGGATTGACCCGATATTGTACTAAGTCACAAGATTTATAAGTAAATGAGTCCCGAATAGGACGAATTTCACTACTAGCCACTATCCACCTTTGCTTATAAATCATTTGCCACAGTTTGAATAGTAGAAGAATTTCAATAGTTCTGTTTATTAACATTTGTGTTAGTCCAAGAACAATAAAAAAATACCATAGTAGTTTATTACTACATTTTAATTGTTTAAGTGAATTATTTTTTATTCCGAGAATGTGACACTATATTTAAACTTAGATTGAACATAATTAAGAGCGTATTCTATACTCTCGTGACGGGGGTGTTGTTTACGAAAATGAGAGAACGAAAAGCGAATGTCCGGCGCTTTAACCGGCTTCCAAACCAATGGAGCACATGGGCTCCAGTATCCTGAGGGAACAAATGGCATATGAACCAATCGTTGGTCACCGGCTACCATGGGACTGCATCTCCTTACGATGCTCCACTACCTTGTGGATCAGACCTTTAGATCGAAGGCTCGGGGTGTGGCCCCCTAAGAAAACCACCTGCTTCAGTTTGGGCACCCGGGCAGTATCACAGCTTTCACACATATCGAATGAGATGTGTGTGGAGCTTATGTATTTGGTGCCTCCTTGTACCAATACCTATGTGTTGAAATAATAATAATTCTATACATTGAATTCATTACAAATATATGATCCTTGATAAGATATTTGTATATTTATATAATTACTATTTCAGCTGTATATCTACATTACAGTGAGCATATCTTATTATTTAAGTTTTAAAAAGTGAATGCATCAAATCAAATTGTATTTTTCCATAAAATTTCAACTTATGTTACTACCATTAAATTTGTATATTAACTTTAACTAATCACTGCATCGTTTTATTGTTACTACAGTTATACAAAACACAATTGGTTAAACTTGATAGTTTCAAATAAATTGGGCATTGGTTAGAGCGTTTAATAATAAATATATTATTTTTTGTAATATCCCAATAAGTAGAATATTATAATTTTCACGTTTTGTCACTTAATGTAAGCCACTTCATCAGAGTGGAGAAGAAGAAAAAGACGAAGAAGTAGATTACATTAACTGACGAAATGTTAGAAATATAACTTTTCTACTTACACTGAGATATCACAAAAAATATACTTGTTATTAACGATTGGTTAATGATTGGTAATTTAGATGTAACACTACAAAAAACAAATAAGGTTAGCGCTTATGCTTACCTCGAATTCAGTTAGTCGAGCTTGAAGACTTTCAGTAGCTACATGAATTTGGATAAATAAAAAAAATCATGAAAATACAATTCATTGAATAAAAACAATCTTCAAACAATGTCTCCACCGTTGCATAAAAAAGTATTTAATGATTTCTTTGAAATTTTTCATTTTATCAAGAAAGAGTTGTGGTATAAATTAATAATGCTATTCAATAGAATGAAATTCACAATGTAAGCAAAGATGGATAGTGACTAGCAGTGGAATCCAAGACGTGCGTTTCGTCCTATTTGGGACTCATCAGCTGGTTATGTATACTCTGGATGAGGTTTTTTTTTCAGTTAACATAACTGTCATAAATTAATAATAACAAATGATTTGAAAACTCATTAAACAACCAAAAATCTAATGTAAAACAGTTTCCTTTGTTGTTATGAGTTTCCTAGTTGTTTCAAGTCTATATATACATATATTTACTCCTCGACTTAAATTAATAGTTTCCTTTCATTTATCTGCCTATGTTTCTTCTATGTAATAACATTGATCAACACATATGTAAACAAATATACATGTCCACCATTCATTATCTAAGTGATAAAATCCCATTGTTTAATTTGTGATAATAATTACTATAGGAATAAAAATGATTTTGTAAATGGTAAATTTTCTAAAGATCAATTAATTAGCCTTTATTCAACATGTTGAGTAGTTTTCTTTGAGACCTACTGCCCCACACTGTTAAAACGATTATCAATCAATTTCATCGATTCAAATAATAATATGTAACTGATAAGGTTCGATAAGTAGTACATCCAGAACCATATATATATACATATATTCATACTATGTGTATTTCAACGAGTTTCATACATTAAAATACCTCGTCAACAAGCATCAATCTCACCAGTGAACGAATCGACACAGAATTTATCATTGAACAAAAAAGGTCATTAGTTTGCTGCGGCGGGACCATAATTTATGGACGAACCAATCAGATATAAGATATCGAATAATAATTATAGCGCGAAATTCATTCATCTATTTGGCTAAATAGAGTTTTGGCATTATATCTGATGTCAGTTCGTGACGAAAATCCTAAATCTAATTTTTAACCTTAACCATCAACCGTAAATCATAATTCTAACTGGTTTATAGCTTTCATTTTGTCCTAATTAGTAGGTATCCGTTCTCAAGGTTACTTTAGCGTCGCTCAAAGGTCGTCCATATATTATAGTTTCACCTTTGCTACGTACACATTTAAAAAGTCTTTAACGTTTAGTTGATATTTCTTGGATTTCAGAAATGTATTTATTTAACGCTTTATGCAAAATCATTATTCACCGGTAATAAAAATACTACTGATGATAATAATAAATAATAGTAGTAATACTAGTAGTAAAAGACGAATAACTGAAAGAAACTCATCACAAATCACGTGAACATTGTTTTTCTTATATGAGAAAATTTCGTTATATGATCAATAGTTTTATATTTGTCTTAAAATATAAATAACGATTCTAATATATGTCGTATGAATAAAATTTACTACATAATCCTGAGTTGATTCACAGTACGTGTGATCTCAAACTCAAATAACAACTAATTGTTTACTCATAGATTTATTTTAAATGACTAATGATATGGGTTACCGTTCGATGTTTTAATGTATTCAGTAAAATATACACTTTTAATGAATTAATGATTGATTCAATGAATAACATTGTACCTAGGGAAATTCTACCCATAACCATTATATTGTAATCTATCAAGTTAATCATATATCTATGCAAAAGTAATTCTATACAAGATTATGAATTGTTCAATAATAAAACAACTATTCTATATTCTTGTAATTTAAACAAACAATTATTAGTTCTGTTATGGTCCCTTTTCTCTGAACATTCCTTCATAATTCTTTTCAATAATTTTCGATTTAAAGTTTTACAAAAAAAAACAACAATCTATTTAATACATTGAAAATTAAATCATGTTCAATAGAGAAACATGACTTCATTTAATATAAAAGTAAACTGATTCTCTCAACTTACCCATTTATTTCCAAGTATATTATTAGTTAACTATTGAATATTGAACAGAGGAATGATTCAAACGACAAAGAAAAATTTTAAAAAACTGGAGCGTAATTCTAACTAGATTGATTGATTGATTGATTGTAGCGTATACGAATATTATTGTCAAAGTTGATGTATAGTATCAGCGTAACTAACAGTAATCCCAGGACGAGAATTAGTTATAGTCTTGTATCAATAAATATGTATAATAATTGAATAAAAGAAAGAGGTAAGAAACAAACAAACACATACAAAAACAAAAACTAGATGCAAATAAATATTTTTTTAAATTTATATCTAAATACTATTACAATGCTGATTGTTGAATATTGTCATTCGAATAAGATTAAATTGTAAATAGTTGATATTTATCATAGTCTTTCTTATTGTTTCCTTCCTTTGTTAACCAATATTGAATGGATGAAATTTGTTTTCTTCTTAAAGAAGAAATAAAAACACGAAATAATGATCGCTAAAAGAAAAAAAATTCAAAGGAAGACAGAACAAATGGTTAACATGTAAGAGGAACTTTTAAAAAGATGTACTTGGAAAAAAAGAAAACACGAATATTTCTAGTAGAAAGATATCTACTAGAAATCAATATTGTATATGTAGTAAATATTCCGACAGTAGACAATTAGCCAGTGGAAGACGGTCACATATACACACAGGCAGTGTTAGAATAGAAAAGATGTAATTATTGAATTAGTAGATGAGTTGAATGAAAATTGCAGAGATTGTCAACTTGATAAAGAATAATAATGATAATATTATTATTATATTTCCGAACTGGATCGAATCGAAAATTGGAATGATGTTTATGAAAAATGATAATAATAGTAGTAACGGTAATAATAATAATAATAATATTCACTTCTCCTTCCTAGTTAATCTCTGCTAACCGCCATTTGAATGTATTTGCTACACAATGAGTAGACACCATCAAAGTTCTGATTTAAATTGTATATTATTATGCCTTTTTATAAAAAAAAAATCAGTCTAATTGTATATTGAATAGTTGGATTGTGCTATTTAATTTAGTGATCCATTGAAGGAATGTGTCTGTGCATAAAAATCCACAAATCGCATCAATACAAAGCTTCTGTTTGTATTGTCGATTGAAAGAGTGAGTGAGTGAGCGAGAGTACACACGTGTATATTTATGTACTCTCACCAAAATATATTATTCACATAAACATAGATACATACGTACTTTCATTTATTTTATCACTCACACAATACCCGTCAAATAAGAAAAATAGCTTAGTCTTATAAAGTATAGGGTAAATGTACATTAGACTTAACTAAAATGAGTGCATAGTCCAAATTTTAAATTATTTGCGTAGGCGATCTATACAAGATAATATAAAAAGTTGAACTTCAATAATTCGTCTTCTCTATCTCTTATTCTCATATTATTCACTTCACATATTTTTGTCAGTTTGTTATGGTATTTCTATTCATCATATAAATAATTTGTAACTGACATAAATACTGTCTCAAATCGATCTAGTTGCTTACTAAAAAGCTATAGTGTATATCTGTATATATGCGAACTATACTGGATATTGAATGACGTAAACACTATGATAGGAAGGTGTACACAACACAAACAAATTACATCAAATAAACTTAAAATTTGATACTCATTAAATAAGTATAAGATTCGTGAATTGGATTGTAAAGAGCACAAATAAAGAGAAAGAGAGACAGAGAGACAGAATTGTGCACAAAGCCTATGAACATAAATTCACACTAAATGGTATATATATGTACACTTGTATACATACATAAATGCATAAAATAAGGAAAGACAATATGTTTATTGAAATAAAAGAAATACATATCATCCACATATTTTATACAATATATAGATATATACATATATAATGCAAACATCTCAATGAAACTGGTGTATGTGAAGATCTGTGCCAAATCGATTCACCTTATCCTATCATTTATATCCGATCATATTTACTCTAAAATAATGTTAAAAATTACCATTACATTATATATAAGATTAGAATAATAGAAAAGTCTTTCGAGTATTCTACATACATGGCACAAGTCCATGTAATCACTGACAAGTGAACTGAGTCATATTGGTAGGTGTAGACTACCTGGTTGGGGACTGCGAGATGATAGCAACCGATGGATAGAGACCCTGAATGACATGGTTCAAAATCGTTTGCAATGGCGCAGGTGCATACACTCTTTGTGTTCTCCCAAATTTTGATCTCCTTATTCCTCCTTGTCTTTTTTTTTCTCTTTCCAAATTTATTTCACTACATTATACTCTTTAAATAACATCTTCAAAACCTAATCTTTCTGATTACTGCTTATACTCTTATTACCTCTACCACTACGGGATTTGAATCGACTACTGCATCTCTGTGCTAATGTAGTGTGGCGACTCGAATTGATGTACGTACGTACGAAGTTCTACGTTGTTACTGACTGGCTGACTGAGATACATTTTTACCTATAAATATGAAATTATTACCATTTTTATCAATGTTAGTATTAATAAGTTTTTATAATCTAATTTTATCTGTTATAAGCAAAGATGGAAAGTGGCTAACAGTGTAGGCGAGTGGTACTGGGTTCGAGTCCCAGAGTGAATATCAACACTAAGATGCAGGTACATCCATTTTACGAGTCCTAAATAGGACGAAACGTGCGTCCTGGATTCCAATGTTAGCCACTATCCATCATTGCTTATAATGGTTGTGAATTAAGGCAATATCGAGGCAATACGCACAATATGCGCATATTTCAATAAGTGACTAGTCAATTGCGGTCCTAATCATTAATGGGAGGATTCAAATAAAACAATATCAAGTGACCTAAGTTTATGTAGTTTTTTTTCTATCAAACATTGACTAATGTACGTGAAATTTTGATGTTGAAAAAGCAGTAGTAAATTGTTAAAAACCACAAATATGTATGTTTAGTCAGTTTTCCAGTAATGATAAATGTGCTCAGTTAAGATCAGAAGATAAATCAATAGTGGATGTACACTTCTGAGGAGTCTCGTAATAGGACGAAACGGCTATCCAGTGCTTCCAAGTTTTCTATGGTGGTCTAGCATCAATGATTTCAACTACTAGAATAAATAAAAGTTACTAATGTACTCAGAACTAAATCTATGAAATTAATAAATAAGTATTACATGAACTGTTCAGTTAGTACATAAATCGATTTATTAAATTAGAGGAAATTATTTGTGAATATCGTTTGAATTTGCCAACATCTAACAAACATGTGAGAAGAAAACAACTAGATAGCTGAAGACTTTGAGAAATATTTGAATAATGGAGAGAAAGATAAGATTTTAGTGAACGACAAAACAAGTGGGGACAGTCGAATGTAAATGAACACGAAATTACAGAATCTCTTAGTAAAATCTGTGAATCATACAGTAAATTCTTCATTTGCAAAATGTTCATCAATTGTCTTTTGTAAATATGAGTCAATCGTCTCACAATTCATTGTTCTTTCGTTCCCACACCATTCATTATTTGCTCTCGTTTTTTTCTTCTATCTTCTTAACCTTCTGCCTCCAGATATTTCACTTTCGATTGATGATACATACTACTTATGTCTATAGACATCAGTAGCACACACCACAAGATAAGTTTCCTTACATACAAATATGAGTATGATTAAAACATTGAGATTGATGTGTATCCAAAATTTGTAAAATACAGTTTTAATGATATTATTTCGGAATATTTATCAAATATGCTGCATAAAATTTTCAGTAAAAGTATATTTTGGGAACGAACTTAAAATGACCACGATGAATTTCCAACCAATCAAAAAACAGTTTTTATAAATGGATGATTTATAAAAAAGGAATCAATAATGTTGCAAGGTGTGGACTGATTTCTATGTAATTAATAAATCTAATAATATCTTCGACAGGTTTCTCAGTCAGTAAATTGAAAAAAGAACTAAACAGAAACTCTCCTTTACGGATATAGAACATCCAACCTTTCTAATACTTATAGGAACCTAAATCAATCTTGAAGTGTCCTTAGATTGTTCCTAACAAGGGTTAAATATTTAGACTAAAGAGTAAGTGTTTAGGGTTGAAGTATTAATCACGAATTGACATCGACTATGATGTAAAAATACTCTATGGATGAATGGATTTCGTCCGGAAACACACAAGGCACTATCTGTTCGGTTCGTTCATAAAATATGGTTTCATCAGGTTAAATTTTATTCAGAATTAAGAATCTAGGTTACAGATTTAGGAACAGAGACAATTTACCAGTTATATGCAATCTAGGGAGACAGCGTTAGGTGTTTCATACGTTGGACACTATCATTTTTACTGTGTAATGACAAAATGTAAATTTCTACTATTATTTTTAAACGTTTTGAACAGTATGTGAAGGTATACTGCTCGTTGTATATGACATTTGAGTTTCCTGCAAAAACCTAATAATTACGTTCTTGATTCTGATCGTTTTGTCCTTAAAGTACACTTTTAGCAAACTTTGTTCTATCAGACTTAATTCAATAAAAATCACTGGTAAATAGTTCGCACATACTTATCACAATCATGAAAAATAAAACCTCAATGTTCCAAAAACATTTTTGTTGTGACCTGCAGAAACTGATAAATATTCTTGACCGAAAGGTTTTCATTTTACAGCATATATACCCCAATTTAAATAACTCAAGTTTACTTCTACCTGAAGTTTGTACTGATGATATCGTTCAGAAGAACAATGAACGCTCCTTGACTAAATCATCCAACTTAGAGAACAAAACTCTACCTGATTTACACATCTTCTACACCATCTCAAAAGACTAGGAAATTAGGATATTAGTTACTATTTTAAGATCAATCTATGTATACACAAATTTAATCTATTTAAACGGTAAAATAATAAAAGGAGATCAATGATAATAAAAGTGATCATCAGTAAATATAAATAAACCAAGATAACATCTGTATAAGGTTACTGATGAATAACTACTGTACGCAGCTGAAACTTGAAGAACTACTACAACCGTCATCAAGAATGTACAAGTACTTATAAATGGTTGTCTACACAAGATACTCAACATCCATCGGCCGGATACCATCGGCAACAGCTTTCTGTGGGAAAGAACAAACCAGCTTCCAGTTGAAGAGGACATACATTACGCAAATCATCAAACTGTATCACGAGGCAATCCTTAACTTGGAATCCTGATGATAAGTGGAAAAGAAGAAGGCCGTAGAACACATTAAGTCGGGAAATAGAAGCAGATATGAAAAAAATGAATAAAAACTGAAAAGAGCTTGAAATGACTGTCGAGTACAGGGTTGGATGGGGAATGCTGGTGAGCGGCCTATGCTCCTTCACGAGGAGTAACAGGCTTAAGTGAGTAAGTATGTAAACTGACGTATAAATAATGTAATTAAATTTATCAGGATGCAAAATCTATTTAAAAAAGGTATTCATAAGTTGATAAAGGTAAAACGGTTTTTTTTGTATAAACAATAAAGAGTTTGACTCATCATTAAACTTTAATGTAGAAAAAAATGCACTCACATTCCAGAGTTATACATGAATACCTGCATCGCCATCTCTAAATTTATGTATATGTATGTTTATGTGTGTAGGTATGGGTATGTTTAAATGTCAGTTAAAGAAATTGTAACATTGAACAAGTTTATTCACAATGATGAAAAATGTATGAATCAATTAAAACAAAGTGTGATATAAAAAAGTGTACTGTTGAAATGGAAACTATAGTAAGAACAACATGTCGGTTAATTTATACAACCATCTGAAATATATTTCAATATAAATTACGTTGACAAAGATGGTTATGGGCATTCAAAACTTTTTTTTCATACACACTAAATGTGGCATACACAGTAGTTTCGGTTAGTTTTTTCCTTTGATTAAGTGGGTAAGTATTAC